CCCCCCCCCCCTCTCTCTCTCTCAAACGTCAATGTTGCTTGAATATGCCCAAATAAAATATTTTTTAAACTTATTGCATTTACTTAATTTAATAAATAAAATTTATTTAATGTAATTTATTAAGTGTCACTAAATGTATTTAATTATCTAGTCGTAACTTTTATCAAATATTTTAACATTATTATAAAGCCGATTTAATGTCTAAAGATAAATAGAAATTGACACTAATATGGATACCAATGAATAATTTAGACCAAGTAAAAATCACAATTTAAATTGCAATAAATAATCGGCAATTACTTAGCATATAAATTAAAAATGTTTAGTTGCTTTATATATTATTGTTTATGCATATAAAAATAAATTGCTATACTAGTAAAGAAAAATCACGATAGAATTGTCCGATCTAAGAAATGTCATAGAGACATACACAACTACTATCCTCTATGTATTATTACGTAATGAAACTTCGTCATATATAACCTTCAACTACCTGTATCTTTTGAAATTTTCATATCTTTTAAATCTAATATTAGTTAACAAATATTGTTTCATTAATTTTTTATATAAAGATGAAATATAAAAGAATAAGAAGATAATACATTAGAAATATATTCAATGCTATCGATTCAGTTAAGTGTTAACTCTAACAAACACATATTTCTCTAACTTTGGATATGTATCAAACAATTGTTTAACTCTTGATTTTATATAACTTACTTACATAACTTTGATAACATTCATTACAATAGAGATCAGATTCTATCTTTTTTTTCTTTTTGCAAAATTGTATAAATCGTTGATGCACTGATTTAGCGTGTAATTTCAGTTCTTGTCTCATATCCTTCTCATTCTGGCACACATTTTTTAAAAGTTTCACGTTGATTGTATCACCATAATGCTGAATAATAAAATATCAGAGTACCAGATTACCAAAGTACCTGAGAGTAAACATTCTAATAGACTATGGCTGCATTCCAAAATTTATCTGCCAGTGCTTGAAAATCTATAGTATATGTAATATGTAAACTATAGATTTTTAGCTCTGCGAGTGAATTTTGGAACACGGCCTTGTGTGTGTTTTACATTTATACCGATTATGTCATATATTTTAACTAATAAATATTACAATAGTAAATAACTGTATATACTCTAAAAATGTCTTATAAAAAACAATTTTTGAACATCTTAACAAGGTATCTTTAAAAAAACATCTTTAAAACGTCTTTTAAACGTGTGTGTTATAATATTTAGAACTGATCTCCCTCCAACTTTGCACGCTTGATCATTGATAATAATAATAATTGTAATAATTTTATTGAGATGTAGTAACAATGAAGAAATCTTAGTATATGTCAAATGTAATGAAAGTAATTCGGATCGGATCGAAGAAAATGAAAAATTCCATAACAGTATTAATTTTGATTATCATAATTAGAAAGATTTTAACACTGCGTGTGAATAAATTATTTCAAATGTATTGTAAAATGTTCAACACTTCCAGAAAAAGTTCCAGAAATGTAATGCACGAAAAGCGTGTTATAATAATTTTTCTAATTTCCTTTGTGTACACATTTCATAATTGGGTCATAATATTAACATTACTAATTGCTGTGATTTTCTCGCTTGACTTGTCATTTGTCATGTAAAATGATACAAATGAAATATAGGATGATATACATATAATATAAATATAGAAACAGTTTGAATGATAACATTTTTCTACATAGGTATAGTATACTATCTAATCTACACTCACACACGGATTGGTCGAGAACCGCTACTCAAGCCCAGTCCTCAATTCAACATATTCCTCATTTCTTTTCAATTCTAGAAGTGGAAAGAAGTGATGAACTTTAGTTAAGAGTAAACCGTGAGTTGTGTGGAACTGGGCCTTAGATTACTTTTTTTTTCACGTTTATATGAAGATATTCTTTACGTTCTGATCATTACAGACATTGCAGTGACGTAACGAAATGCAAAGGATTAATCCTCCACGACCTAATATAATTTCCACACACACAAATAGCATACTACTCTACCTATACCTACATTTTTAGTATCCAATTTTTTACCAGAGTCTGTACTACGTGACTTTAAGATAATATTAGGATATCTCGAGTCTCTTTGTTAATCAAAACTTGATAACTGTGGAGTCAGCCATTTATCTCCCGGAAAATAATCTTGCGCACAGAGGGGCGGGTCAAAAACGCAAGGACTCAACGGGAGAAGCTGATATTAGAATCTCTGTAGAGAATATATTGGCGTTAAAAAAAAAAAAAAAAACTCCCCCCAACTAGCGCCAGTGCGTCCCAGGAACTGTCCCGTTTCGGAGTTCCAGAGGAAGACTCGGAAGCTTTCCCATTTTCCAAGCTTCGGCGGCGGTGAATAAAACTGCTCGACTTTCTTGCCCTCCATCCCGCTCTTTACAGCGACTCCCGACGACGGGGTGAAAAAAAATCGAGGGCGAGAGAAGAAAGGGTGGAAGTTCGGGCGACAGAAGAAGGTGTGAGAGAAGAACGCGCTCTGCCACCCGCGTGCTGGCTGATCCCTCTCGAGGGCTCGAGGACTTCCTTCCTCTGGCGGAACGTTGGCCGCGCGATCGAACAGCTCCGCGGGCGAGGGCGCAAAAGAAGGAACGGTCGATTCGTACCCCCGTCTGGAGGAGCCGCTGCTGTCGGGCGCTCTCGTCCGGCGGAGGGTTGAATATTGAGCGATCGAGGCTGGCCCGACCCCCGCGAGAGAGGGTCTTCGGTATCTATCCTTCCACCACCCTCTGCCACCTCGCACCTCTCACCCCTCCACGGCGCACCCTTTACGGCAGCAACGCGCCGGCGTGACCACGCAGAGACGCGTCAATACGTGATTTCCTTAGCACCCCTCCCGCGACACGCGATCACCCCTCGTTACCCATCTCCCCTTCGTAAAATCCGAGGACCAGGTGGCTCCCCCACCGACAAGAGCCGACAATGGCGAGCGATGTACGACGATCTCGTTGCGACCTACTCCCCCCACCCCTCCCTGCCCGCTGATTTCGGGCCGTTTCGTTTTAGGTGCTTTCGATCGACCCCCGTCCCGCGAAAACGCGATCGTTCAGATCAGAACTTATATGCGACGCGATGCGCAGCCGGCTCGCGTATGCGTATTAAGTCTCCCGCAAAAAGATGGAGGGAGGATGAGGTTTGGGATGGCAAGGAGGGGTGATATCGAGAACGCGTAAGCGAGAGGGGTGAAAGGGGAGGAAAGCAGATAGTGGGTCACGTGGAGTATTCGACTGCCGCGCGACTGCGAAAGCTCGAGTGGGAATATCGGTTTGGTATTTTCCGCGGTCTTCAAATTGCACTCATTACCGAAACACTGTTGCAATTATTCTCCAGTGATACGCACAGTAATTTCGACGACATACGACGACGCAGTACTTTATAAGCAATTTTTTATGCATCCATCGCGATATTATTGTCAACTAAACTTAAGTTAAATATATATTTAATCTTATAATCATCTCTCGTTAATCTCTCGAAATCAGGACAAGTATTACAAAATAATTTTGATTATAATAATGTCTTAATTATAATAAATATGTGACTTTTAAAATATTCTATTATATTTATTTTTCTATTTCAAAGCTATGAATTAATAATAACGTAGCTGTTAATTATAACAATTATTATCATGTAACTGTTAATTAATGTATCACAATTAGGTCAATTAGAAAATAGATTATCGATTTACAACATTTTTCACGAATGTTCTATAATAAAATTGTTGAATCTAATAAATTTTTTATACAATACTGCTTGTGTTTCTTCAAAAATACAACAATGTAAAGAGAGCTTTTTAAATTGGAAAAGAAATTAGTAATTATTGCTGAAATTATGTATTGTTGCTTGGCAATAATAATTTAGATTCAGCCAAATTTAGATATTAAAAGCAAGTTTTGCAAGTCATCAACAGACTCACACGCGCAATACATATGTGTAAAAGTTATATTATGCTCATTGAATTAAAAAAAATTATGTCGTCAAAATATTCAACGCATCTTCTAATTTAATTAAAAGTTTGATTCTTATGCACCTGTAATCTGTTTGATAGAGAAACTCTTGATAATTATCTGAAAATAAGTTTTATTTAAATTAAGATAATCTGATGTATTTAATTTGTAATATAAGTATCTTAAAAAGATATAAATGTCTGAGATTTTTAAGACTCACAATATTTCGGTTATAATGCAATATGATCACAAAATCACGTTTGGCACAAACGTAATTAAGATTAACATCGTAATATCGCCTTCTTTTGCACTCGCTTCTTTTCATTCTGTAAAAAAAAATCTATACTAAAAACTTTTTTAATTTTAAGATTTTCTTAGAAAAATTATACAAAATAAATTATTTTATTTCGTATAGCTTAGAAAAGCTATAGAGAATAAAATAATTTCCCAAATAGCACAAAAAGTCCAAGGGACATTTGACGAATATCCTGAAAATATCCCAAGTACTAAGAAAATGTTCACAGGAACATATCTCTGGGATAAAGTGTGCTATATGGTTATTTGTCTTTATATCCGCAATATAATTATAGATAGATTATAATAAGAGAATCAAATATCACGATAATTGTTTTGCCTTTTTACATAAAATTAAATACACAAACCTTTTAAAAGATTTATTCACAATATTTATATATGGTAATTGTAAAAACATCTAATTGCTTATAAGTCACGTTTTATGTTACAGCGTTCTGAAATTAATGAAACTGTATATATTCACATTATTATGTGTATAGAGTAATAAGATATTAACTATTAAATTTATCGAACACAAAATGATATACATATATACATATACATATATATATATATGTATATGCATATATTTATATATATATAAATTTGATCACTTAACTAATAATAATTTGTGAGTTACAAATGTTACCGCCATATCAAACACAAAAACTATTATTTATTATACTTGTTCTTACGTAATTATTTCCTAAAGTTGAAATGTCAACTGATATGATTAAATCAATATTAATATCAACCTAATATTATTAAATATGCTGCTAAACATCTCATATCTCCGCATTTTAAAATCAAAGCGCAAATCTAGACCTTTCTACTTTCTGACTAGGCATTTTATCAACAGGCCAGCGAGAATCTAATGATATTTCTCGTTATACATATACATAGAGATATTAATAGTACGAAAAATATTGCGTCATTTCCAATGGATGAAGATCAATCTAAAGAAAATATAAATAACGTATAAATGCTGATAAATAAATATGATAATTTCATCGGGCATATCTTTAATTTGATATTAATTTTTGAATTACATTTAATTTTACAACGAGCTTTAAAACTAAAATGTCAGTTTTTACGTAAAGTTATATTAATAATCAATTGATAATAAATATTTGTTATGTGATCGAAATTGTCATATTTATTTGTGTTATAAACACAGTATTAGGTACTTACTTTTATTATTAAATGTGATTGATTTTGGGTTAAATTTTCTGGTCTTGCTTATAGACTTTTTGAGATTGACTCACGTATAAAACTTCACTTTTTGTATAATTAAAATTTTAAATTGTTGTAAATTATTTGTATAAAAAATTTTTAAGTATTAACATAATCAGTTCTATAGAGTATATAAGAAAAATTATAAAAAAAGGAATTTACTAAGAAAAAAATATTAGTCGATATATAAAGTACATTTAAGTATTTCCAATAATATAATTACGTTTACAGGAATATAATTACATTTAAGTATTTATTCGCGAAGATTAAATACATGCTAATAATAAGCTGTACGCACTTAAAAGTAAGGCTTTCTTATTTCTTTAGAAGAGTACGCTCTTAAAATTCTAGATCTTTTTCTTTTATTTATAATTTTATTATTTTTACTATACATCTTGTACTCCCTTTACAGTTTTGTGACAAATGCGTAATCTAATCTACAGTATCTCGTGAATTTTCTTTTTGATTGATCTTTTCTATAAAGTTTTTTTAATTCATCCATATTCACAACTTATGAACAGTAATATGTATTATTCACAGTCGCTATACAAATTTCGTTCGACACATTTTGTTGATATATATTTAACAACGGACGTAATCAACTTGTCTTAACACTCGAGAAGTCAAAGCGATTATTTTAACCTCTATCAAATTTTTAACTAGTAACCTTGATATTATTTGATAGAGTCTTGTACTCTTTTCTATCATTTTCCAGTCATTGTGCTCTTAGATTTCATAGCTCGTAGAAAAATTTCAATGCCGAAACGACTCGAAAAATCAAAATATGACCTTAAAAGAATATCAAAAACGAAATCACAACGAAAATTATTTAAATCAATGTTGAAATATGTTATTGGTTTTGTTTTGAATTTGTAATTTTCTGGAAAAGAATAAGAAATCGCGAAGATTCACAAATCCTTCTCATCAACTTTTCTAGCAATTGTATATACACGACAGCCATCCTTCTAACATTCTTGTAATTTTTAACAGTAACAGGAACTGCAACATCTAATGCCCAATCAACCCTTTTAATATTTGGGGCTAGTTTTACAAACAATCTAGGACTAATATTTTTCCAGGAACAGTATTTCAGCTATTGATCTTTTTTCATAAAAATTTATTCGAATACGAAAAAAATGCATCCATGAACTATGGGAAATGAATAGTGTAAAGTGTATAACAGATCACTGATAGAATTATCTAATATCTTTCAGATTTACAATGAATAAAGAATGTTAACAAAGAATTAATTTGGTTTTAACAAATACTTCGTGTAAAATATATATTATTCATTTTTTATCGTTTAATATTAGATTTCTTGACAATAAGCCTTATTAAAAAAAATTTGTGTGTTTTAAAATTCTGTTTTTTTCTTTTACATTCTTTACAGGCCAAATTGGTCAAAATTTTTTTCTATATAATGCTTTGATTTTCAAACATTGCCATTTTTCTTAATTATATTCCTAATATCACTCATTTCCTAAAATGAACTAATTAAAAAAACAAGTTTTTCAGAAAATGTATATGTCTGAATATTTCAAATCATTAAAATTTTTTAATATCAATTTTTAAATATTATATATATTTTAGAATAATAATTGATTATAAAAGAGAATAAAATTATATTCTTTTGAAATATTTTTTCTTTTTTCTATATTTCTGTTCTTTTTTACAAGCAATTAAAAAATTATTGAGTTATGTCATTATTGTAGCAAATTTACGCGGAATATGTTTGATAAATTTCAATTATAATATAATGAGAAGAATAATGTGTCACAAATAAATTAATCTAAAAAAATATGCAGCTTACTTTCAAGTCGTAAAGCCTCACCGGACATTTAATATTAAATTTGTTTTTTTAATTGTTTCTCGATTTGTCTATTACACGGAAATTACAGTGATGCAAGTGAAAAACGCAATATTATTTCTACTATATTGTTTGCACAATTAGGAGAGGCAATTTTTGTTGGCAACTTCTATTCATTGAACAAATGCATTGTTTTATTAAATGAAATTTATTTAACTTGATACCTTCTATTGATAATTGGTATAATTTAATTTCATTTAATAACATTTTACCATAATAACAAGTTTGACAACTGAAAAAATTAAATAAAGTCTGAGGGCATTTTACATATTTCGGAAATGTCCGATTTGGCTTATCAACGCTATATAATAGCATTTTAGTCGTTTCCATAACTTTCTTACAAATAGCACAATTTCCTCCATCTTTTTTCGGATTCTCTTTATCTAGTTAATATATTTTCCAACTATTTTGTTCATTGCTATATCTATCGCCTTTCATTTCTTTTTTTAATCAAAAATCACTTTTGCGTATTGCGACCGTTCGTACAAGAAAATATATGATTCTGTGAAGAGGAAAGTCTTCGTCTTTAAGATTCAACCATAAAAGTTCGTCCATGTACAAAGGGTTCGAGCTGTTTCGCATTCGCTGATGAAAATCCGAATGATTGTTTTAAATGCACTAGCAATTCTGCTAGCGGGCTGCCACTCGACTTATATTCAGCTTTACCCTGCGTTGCTCCCTAAGAGTCCATTGCATCAATAGTGTTGCAGCTTTGGTTAACTAATCCATTTTGTTTTTCAACATATTAAATAAGACTTACATTTGCAATAAATTAACTATATAAATTTAAAAAAATGTATTAAAAAACGTTTATCGTAAAATATGTAAACATGTGTTATGTTGGATAGCTTAAAATTAAATTAATGACGTGGGCGATATCCTAAACAAAAAGATGGAAAAATTGACAAAACTTTAAGTAAAATACATCATACTTATATATTTTACTGAGTCAATTTAAAAATATTCTGAAAATATTCTATTACGTCAATGAATATACGCTTCTTAAAAAATTATAATTTTTAGAAACAACGCGATTCTTCTACTTTAAATAATAGTTCCACAATGCAGACAAATACAGAGGATTTAGTTAACCACGCCTTACACATTAATTGCTGCAACCAAACGCGTAAAAAAGCTTAACGTTGATTACGCTCAAATACATGGGCAATCGATAAAAGTCGTATAAAATCGTTTCAAATGCACGTGCAATCGCATGACTACTCGTGTATAAATAATATGAGGATCGCCGTCTAACTACAAGTATAAGATAAGAAACAAGTTGTGAGCAGCAAAAACATATGTATAATTACGAAATATATATTATATATAGGATGCATATAACATATATTTCATGATTTTACCATAAACACACACGCACACACACGCACACACGCACGCACGCGCGCACACACACACACACACACACACACACACACACACACACACACACACACACACACACACACGCACGCACATATGCGCGCGTGCATACTCAGATATGTAAACACGCACACATATGTAAGCGAAACAAACACACAAAGGAGCGCAACGGCAGCTAGATGATCGAACACTTTTGGTATGTTGTTCCTTCACTATTTTTTCCCATTTTCCTCCCTTTTTTTCTTCTTTTTTTCTGTCGGTTTTTGTTTCTGCCTCTTCCCGTACAGCACAGTTGCTTGCAGCAACATTGCTGCAATATGACTACAATGTTAAATGTTTCAGGAATATTGCAGCAATGTTGCTGCAAGCAACTGTGCCGTATGGGTTACATTCTATCTTTTTTTGCGCGTACACACATACGTGACACATGCACACCATACACACACACACACACACACGCACGCACGCACGCACACACGCACACGCACGCACGCACGCACGCACGCACGCACGCACGCACGCACACGCACACACATGCGTACTGTATATCATATTTCGTATATATATTACACGCTTTTTTCTTTGTCACATGTCATTATCGGTTCATTGCGCACGTAAGATTCGAGAAAAATATATATACATAAAAACACGTCGTGGCGCAACGGCGGTAGTAGAAGTAATAATTATAGTTTAATAGTATAGTAATAGCGTATAGACATGGTAGATTAGAAGTTAAAGTATCGCTTGCTAAATATATTCGAATCTCGTATAATTTTCGCTTCCTTTCCTGTTTGGGGGGGCACAATTTATATCCTTTATCCTTTTCATTTGCGTTTCTCTTATAGCTACTCGTTAAGAGAATTTAGGGTATAGGAGAAAAATAGGAACACTGTCAAGATGGGAGTTGCAGCGAAAAGTAGCCAATAAGTGTCGCTGGAAGGACAGGAGTCACTATTTTAAACTCAAAAATCTCTCAAAACGTGTCCTAAGTAAAAGAAACACACACAAAAAAATTGTGTTCCGTATAACGCGGTCTTTCAATTGTTTCTCGCTTCGCTTTTGCTCTTTCTTTGTACAATACTACTATATTATATTTTACATTTAGTTAGATCACTTTTCAATCACTATCATACGTAAGAACTTGCAAAAGGTGTACTCCGTACCATAAACCGCGAAATGTCTTCAGTTAGAAAAATTTCATCGCTGTCATTGTCGTACTTGGTGTCGACGTTATCGTCACCGTTATCGTCAGCATCGCATAATATCATTATCATCATCATCATTCCGATTATAGAATAAGGTATTTAGAAAAATTACCGAAAAGTGAAAGGAGGAACAATATCGGTTGTCATCTCGTAATCTTGTCCTTAAATCGATTCGCATTGGCATACTGGTGGTTACAATGACAGATGTGCTGGTGATGGTGTTGGCGATAGTGATAATAACAGTGATGATGAAGATGATAGCGATGGTGATATTGGTGATGGCGATGATGGCAATAATTGCGGTTATAGTGGCGGTGATAATTGTGACGAGTGGTAGCAGAGTGGTCCATGGCAGGGGATCACTTATCGGAATTCGGACACTCCCCAGGCTGCTTCATTATCGTGTAATCCAGTCGGTATTGGGCTGAAAGTAAAAGGATTTCGTGTTCTTTGTGACGACAATACGTGAGTAGTATGTGTGATTACAGATGAAACCACTCAGTATTCAAATGCTGGTTACACGTTTGTATATATGCGGCAGTTATGAAACATTATGCTACAAAAAAAAAAAAAAAATATGAACATACTAAGACATGTAGATCTATAGGCGTATTAAATTTATCCTAACTTGCATAAAATGTTCCAAATCGATCATATTTTTTTTTTAAGATGTGAATTTTAAATTTTATGTAACGTTATCCTCTTTTTCAATTTTTTATTTTTTGATTATCTAAATATCTCCATTTAAATAAGTTTCATCAAGATTAGATTACATTCATTTGAAAAGCAGTTTTGTTTTGGTTATGTATTAAATGAATTAAAAGCCGTCCTTTCTTCATATAACGCAACGTTCAATTGTATTAAGAGGGCGTACCTTTCTTCGTAATGTCTTCCATCGTCTGATCCTTGCAATCTACCGCGAGGTGACTATTACTGCCGCAGTTATAACACGAGATCTTTGTCTGTGGTATTACCGCCGCTGCATACGTTACCACCGGCGTAGGTGGCATGTACGACGCTTGTACTGGTGCCGCGGCAGCTACGTTCGGTGGCGGTGGCGGCGGTGGAGTGCTACCAGACGCGGGATGACCCGTGAATGGATACATAATCTCGCCGTTCGGCTGATACGCTGGTTGATAAGATGGTCGTGCGGATGGCCCGTGCAAGAAGTTAGAGTAGATACCGCTACTGGGTCGTAACGTAGTTGGGAAGTGGCCGTGCGGCAGATACGTGAGCTGTGAATGTGCCGGCGGCGCCGGGAAGGAGACGCAGTGTGACAGACTCGGCGGTCCACCGTTTCCATTCCCGGCTCCGTTCAGTATTCCCTGGTTTTTTTGCCGCATCGTGCGCGTCTGTGAATTCTTTCTGGTAAGTTGCCTGCTCTCCGGTGGCACCGACGATTGCATTGACGACTGCTGGGGTGCTGACACGACATGTGGCGGAGCCGTCGCCGTGGAATGCACCGGCGCGGAAGTCATGTGGTCAGTGGCAGGCGGTGCAACATTGTTGTCACCGCCACTGCTACTACTGACCCACGGCGCAGCCGGTGGCGTCTCGGGGGGCGATCTACTACCGGTACTATCAGAACTACTGCTTTGGGAACAGTGCCGGCTGCTCTCGGAGTCGAGTCGCAATGCTTGCAGTTGTCCAAGGCAATACACGTGTTGAGCATTACACCTGAAAATGTACGATACATATTATGATAACTGGTTACATAATTCTTTCATTTTAAAATATTATCTAAAGTACTGACAAAATTCATTCATGTATACCTTGAATATCGATTTTGCATTCCAGCTACTGGTACAGTGAGACAATAACAAGGTGAATTTTGAGCTGTATACATTGGTGGTGCAGGATACATTTGTATTTGCGCCGGATCTATCGATGGCATGCCAGGATAGCGCCGCAAATTTGGAGTAGTCATATGATTGTGCATATGATAATGATGCATCGCCGGATGCTGTTCTTGTAATAGCATCGATTTCCCGCTTGTACTATTATTTGAATCCCCTAAAACTTCTATACCAGATGCCTATAGAACAAATACAAATAATAAAAAGAAATAACATTAAATATAAAAAAACATCAATTTATAGATTTATTATCAAATTCTGAATGGAAGTCTATAACTTCATTCTCTATTTTTAATAAAAATATACGAGGCTTGTTTATCTTATATATTGTCAAATATATAATATTGTCAAATATATTGCCAAAATATTTTCTTGTTTATAAAGCTGATATTCATTACTAATATACTCATTAACACTTTATTCATTCAACACATTAAACCATAATTTCAAGTAAAAAAACACGCAGTTTTTATATATTAAAGTTTAATTTATATAACATTATTTATAGTCAGTTTTTATTTTAAAAGATCGCAAGATATGTCACTCGATTCTTGCTTTAAAAAATTGACTCAAATTAAAGAAAAAATTTGTAAAGCCTTTATTATTTAATGTATGATATTATATATAAGCCTTACCTCGTTTTCCATCGATTCAGTGAGCGAATGTGAGGTATTGCTTACGCTATCCAGCTTCTTATCCGTTGAAATCTGATTTAAGCCATTACTGGTTTGACTTTTAACTATACTCCTCAACTGTCCCACTGCATTCGGTGTCAAGCCAATGTCCCTTAAGTCTTCGTCACTCATTCTTCTGATCTGTAATTTACATATCATACGAATAATTCAATTTCAAATTGCACACACATCTATGCAAATTATATTATCTGCACAGACATTCTGACTATCACTGTAATGAAAACGTAATTTTACTTACCTCATCGCGAGAGAAGTTCTGCAGATTGCCCTTAAAATTCGGCATCTCTTTACTCAAAGTCTCTCGAAGGGAATCGCCAGAATTAGATGACCTAAGTCGTGGCGGTGGTGGTTGTTTCGATTGAGTTGCCGAGATCAAAGTAGACGATGGGGTATTATCGATACTATGTCGAGAGAAACCTGACGAACTCGTATTAGATAAAGGAACGGATCGCGATGATGGGAGTAACGGCGATTGACTAGGAAGACTTCTGCTTGCACCGGACGCTGGTAGAGGCGGCAGAGAGTTGTTGCTGTTACTAGTAGTGTTCGAAATGGAGCTGCTTGTTTGGCTGTTTGAGATGCTTGACGATGTGAGGCTGGTCGAGGTGGATTGAGTAGATTGCGATGAGGCGCGTGAGTTAACATTAGTCCTACTACGGCCCATTGGCGAATTACTGCGACTAGGAGATCGTGACTGAGATGGCGAGGATTGGCGACTGACTAAGGGGGAAGGGGGATAAGCCAATACATCGCTGTGATACATCAGCTGGTTTGCCATCATAACCTGACTTGGCCAAGGGGGCATATGGTTCATGGATGGAAAACCGAGTTGAACGTACTGCGTTGTACCGCCAGATCCCATAGGCATTTGCTCTGGACCAGGCAAACATAATCCTGGTGGAGGTATCGTGAGACCAGGTGGTACTCCGGTGACTATAGTATTATTCCTCATTCCCATTTCTCCTAAACACAATACATCAATATATTAAATTTAAAATTTGAAAAATGCATATAAATATATAAATCAAACGTAAAAACGCGGCTAACATTATTATATTTAAAATTATTTTGAACTGAATATTATAAAATTCAAAAATTATTAGACACAATATTATTAGACGACATTAAGAGATCCATTTAGATCGAATAAAACCTTCTTCGTTTGTATATAAAATAATTTTATCTCACAAATAAAATGTCAAAATTTTTATATAATAAATCATATACACAGAAATTTTATAACATAGGAAATATACAGGGAATATAAAATCACTAAATAACTTCTAATTATGAAAAAATTTTAAATTATCCGATCATTTTAAAATATGCATATACAAATAGATTTTCTAATAATAAAAAATATTTTACACGCTTTTATTCAACATAAGACAAAAAGTTTTTGGATAGAATATGAATAGTTTTGCAGTGTTTTTATAATGTATAAACTGTCATGTTATTGCTGACATAGTTATAACTCTCTAATCCTATTAAGCGTATTGTATTCAACTGAGCTGATTCCAGTAAGTAAAACAAGAGATGCAAAAGTAAACAATAACTAGTGATACTTTTATTTTCTGGAAAAGCGGAATGTTGATACCCTGCTAAACGGTACTACTACGCATATGTTTTGCCATATTATGTCATAGTTGTAATTTGTCAAAAACGTTTTACTTTTCCATATTAATAGATACTTAAGAAGAATGCAATACAGCGTACCATGATAAGATTGTATTGGCGGTGGTGGCATTAAACAGCTACCCGGTATCTCAGGCTCCATTAATCTTTCATTTGTACTCATGCACGGTGTACAGCCCTGCATAAATTTAAACTATATGTAAATTATATAATACAATCAAACAATTTCCAGCTTTTAAAATAACTAAACGCATTACTACATTACTATACAATTTGATACATAGTTGCAATGTTATAGAAGCATGTTACTAAAATTATTAAATTTATTATAAATTAATAAATTAATTTAAAGTAATATATATAACATACTTATATATCTTTATATCCAATGAAAAAAATTTGTTTTTCTAATACAATCGATAATTCAAAGTAAATATATCGTATTACTCTTAAAAATTTCAATAATTATTCTTTAAGAATTTTGAAAAGAAAAAAATAATTTAGTAAATACAAGACAATTCAATAAATAAAACATAAATGTCAATTTTTATAAAAATATTGATTTTTTACTGTTTTTGAAAAAATAAAATATTGTATATTACTTGGGTCGGTTTGAAAGAAGAGTTTATCTTTGAAAGGTTCAGACGAGCTTCTTCTTCCTGGAGCTTAATGAATATGTTGCCGAATACGCTTTTCTGTTCATACGTGAAGGCCGGATGATTCAGTGCCATCGTATACAGCAGAAGCAATTCTTCCAGGGGTTGGTCGTCCACACTGAAGGTGGTCCCGTTTAACAGATTTGTAATCTCCTGATGGTCGAAATTCGACAGATTTTTGTACAAGATCACTGCACAGGCATAATTGCACGAGTGCAACAGTGCCATGTAGAGAGCCAGTTTTCTTCGCGTGCGTTTATCTGTCACGCTGGAAGTCAACTCGGCTAACTCCGAGGCGCTGTTTGCATGGTGTTCCACATCACGTAGGTCATTGTAGTCCCGCTTACCGATATCCTCGATGCACGTACCGAGATATCGTATCTCAAATGGCACGCACATGTTCAGCAATGTGCACATTACATCGATACGTTTATAACTGAACAAACAAAATATAGATTAATATCAAACAAAGTTGTATCGACATCATCATATTATCAATACATCGTGATTTTTACGCGCTAAAAATTAAAATCCTAATTGTATGTATGTCTTACACAGGCTTTCTCACTAAAGTCTATCTTTCGATAAACTCGTTGCTACCACGAACTTTGAAAAGTAGATAATTGAATCATTTTAAGTTGTTGTTATCGGTCACTTTTTTGTATTATAATATATAATATACATATATATTATACATTCATTACAATTATAATTAATATATTTCAGTTAAAAATAAAGTATTAATAGGTAATTCAATTATTTTGTTGTTTTTTTTTTTTGAGGAATAATACTCAAAATATATATATATGTATATAAAGTATTAAAAATAAAATTTTAATGGCATAATATCTCATTTTCATAATATCTCAATTTTCTATCATTTAGTATTAATAGTTTCGATATTATCATTTAAATAGGAATTTTTATCACGTGATACGCGCGACTACTTTGCATGCAAGCATTTATTTTTGATAATACTTTGTATTTATCTAAATTAAATGCAGATTAATTATTCTTATATAAATATTAGAATATGTAATGTCCCTATTTTCAATCTTACTATTATTTAGAATATGTAACTTTTTAAATTTTTAACACATGCAATTTGATGAAAATGATGAATTAATACAATTAAATTGTATTTTGAATTAAAAAAACATTTGAGTTAAAAAATTCATGTGATAACTTAGCACTCTTATCAAAAATAAGTCATAATATACAATATATTTAGCAAATAAACACAATAATATCTAATAGAAGTATATTCTGTCTCATTACATCTTTAAATCTTTTTCACTCTTTATCTTTTACCATTTGTATAATAATTTTCTATATATATGTATAAATGGTATATTGAAGTATTAAAGGCAACTTATGTTGAGAATCATTAAAAACTGTAGCCTATTATACGTAATTATTTTGCTTCTTATTTGACATACTAGTGCTATTATTATACCGATAAAACATTTGAAGATTACAAAATAAGTAACACAAAGATAGTACGCGAAGAAACCTTAAAATAATGGAGAAAACATAATACGATAAGTAACTTTTTATAACCGAGAGAGTCGCATCGTACAAGAAACACAGAACTACGAGACGACAAAGAACACAATCGTGTTTAATTCAATGTTGGTGCAAGAAGCGCTATATAGAGGAAGTAACGTAAAACATATATAAAATATACGTAGTAAAAATTTCCCAACGATATCTCACGGGGACGTTGACCGAAAATTCGTCACGAGGGATGCGCAAAGAGCGTGTCTCGCAAAGTGTTGTAAAACCGAAGTAAATTGTGGATACTTTGACGAAACGAGAGTTTAAAGGCGATGCTGATCGCCCAATGGATAAGGGTGAGAGAGAGATACAAACGTCGAGTTGTAGACCTCGAGAGAGGGGTATACCGTGCATGCTTCGCATCGCGAGAGCGACACACGACGCGCTATCTCAACGGTTACGCAAAATTACTCCTGAAATATCTCGGGAAGATGCGCGCGTCGGGATCGAGAGTCACGACGCTTCCCACATTACCTGGACAGATTCCCAAACCATGATACCACGTTCTCCTTACACACCATTGCCAGACAACATTGATACTACTTGGGTAGGAGGAAAGTGCGGAGCAACGGAGCGGACAACCAGCGGGCGGCCTCTCTCTCTCTCTCTCTCTTTCTCTCTCTCTTCCTCTCGTTTTTCGTCCCTCTATCTATTCGTCTTTCTCCCTCCTCTGGTGGTTCGCTCTCGCTCTTTCTCTCTCTCTCTCTCTCTCTTTCTCTTTCGCTCCTCTCGCTCTTCTTCTCGAGGGCACCGCACAATCGGGTTGACAATCAGATCCTTACAAACGAGAACCGTTTCACAACCGTGTAATGGAACCCCGTTGGGATCCGGTTGTAAGCGACGACGAATATACCGCGGACGCACAAGATGCACAGTGGCGGCAGCGACGGCGGTGGCACGACAGCCGTAACACACCGTTAAGCTTCCACATTCGCCGTGGCCAGTCGTAAAGAGATATTGGACACCACCGACCGGGATTACGACGGGACCGATATGTCTCCCAATCGGAGCCGACGACAAAAAGTCGTAGTCGACGAGCGCGATCGCAGAGAGTCGCGCGCGCTATCCGTGCCGTGCGTAGCGCGGGCCGCGAGGACGACGAACGACGACGACGACGACGACGACGACGAGCCTCTCTCGCGGGCGTTCGAGCGAGCGAGCAAGCAGGCGCGTCAAGAGCCGCGCGCTCCGAATGTCCCCTGAATCTCTTTGGATATTTCCGCGAGAAACGAACAACACGTCGTACGATATGGGATATATATTCACCGCCGTGTTCGCCCGTACTCTCTCGTTACGCGAGAACTCGCGAATTCTCGCTCTCTTTCCCTCTTTCTCCCCTCTCTCACTCACTCTTACCAGTCTTACTCTCGCCCCTCTTTCTCTCACTCTCCTTCTCGCGCGCGCACGAGATGCCGCTACGAATGTATCGGACAGTCGACGCGAGAGATCCGTTCACAATATATGTTGTGTACTCGCGTTAAAGGAGGTGTCGTATGTCGTATATGTTCGTTGCGCTTCGCATTTTAGCGCGCGTTCGATTTCTCCGCTCGCAACGCTGATAAACGCTTTGTGAGTGCGGAACTAGAAAGAATCGAGGGAGAGTAGAGAGAGTGATGCGAATTCATTACAAGTCCGCCATTTTTTTTAGATAATTTTTTGACAGCAAGCGCGAGATAAGTCGCTTAATTAACATATTCTGAGGGTATATAATTATGGAAGTTGTAAAGAATCGGTAGCCTCTGGAATTCATCCAATCCGCTTTTCAACTCGTTCATGGCCAGATCGTGGCCGATACAATTTAAAAATAATAAAAAGAAAATGGTGAAGGCTCTTAGGATCTACACTCCAACTAGTCCAAACATTTCAAGCCTGTTCTTTTTTGATAACCTATAAAGATTGATCCTGCACGGTTCATCTATCTTCTTTTTCTTTTCTCATTGGAGAGAAAAGGACACACATATATACACCTATGAATATGTGCGAAAGTGGCCCGAAAATGACCAATATCAGAATAAAGAGCACTATCCGCTCAACATTCTCCCTTTAAGCTACAGCCTCTAGTTGGAAGTCTTAAATCTTAATCGTTGAACCAATCAGCGTTACCCCGGATCTACAATAGATTTTTAAGCCTCAAGGTACTATCACATGGAGCGAAAATTACAACGGAATGAAACAGTGAGACCAATCAGAATTCTGCAATCATTACTCTGCTTTCCTTTCTGCGATTGTGATTGGTCTCATTGTTCCGTTCCTGTGTAATTTTCGCTTCATGTAATAGCACCCTTATGCCATAAGAAATGGACTAATTACAATCAATTATGACTTATAGGTCGCAGCACACACTTTTGCATGACGCATAGTGCATAAGCGATCAACCAATCTAAATACTTCTCTTCCGTGAAGTGAGAGGAAAAGAAGAATTATGATTTGTTGATTCTTTCATGCGTCATGCATTATACGTCTTGCAAAAGTGTGTGCTGCGGCCTTAAGCGGGGAGCACAGACTTTTGCATAACGCATAAAGCATGTGCATAAGGAATTTCATTGGTCCATTTTCTTATGCATGAGTCAATGGACCAATCAAATTCTTTATGTTTATGCGTTATGCAAAAGTCTGTGCTCCCCGCTTTAAGCTATATCCAAATCAAACTTGCATATTGCGAAGTCTCGCTCGCTCTCGTGGTACATACGTAGTTCCCGCAGCTCGAAAATGGACGTTGGTGCCGCTAGTGAGAAGCATTACAAGAAAAAGACCGCTCTCAAGGAGCCTACAGACCAGAGCGGCGCAGCGTAAAAGCATGGCCCTCATTGGCTATCGCTCGCCGCTTCACCGCTGCGCCGCTCTGTTGCGCCGGGATTATTATTATATAAATACCACTTTAACTAACCCCGATTAACGTAATCGGTCGATTAGTCCAATGGAATTAACCCGCTTAAGGCTGGGTCCACAACCTCGCCTTAAGAGGCCCTAAGCCGTAAAGCCGTAAGAAATTGACCAATCACAGAATATTATTTTTCTCGCATTGAATTATGATTGGTCAATTTCTTACGGCTTACGGCCTCTTAAAGCAAGGTTGTGGACCCAGCCTAAGAGAAATGCACCCAACGCGTAATGTTGTAATTTCAACTAGTAATTTCAAATTTCTTTTTCATTCACAAATGACAAAAATGTATTTTATTCAGGATGTCCCAAAATTCACTTAAATCATGCTATACGTAAAAATAGTTAATTAAGTAAAAAAATTATTTGAAAATTTGTATTTTAAATAGTAATTCTTGAGATAATAAAGGTTTAAATATAACAACGAATCTTATTAAAAACGACCTGTCCTGGAAAAATTTTCATGACTTTGTGTGGAATAAATATATCCGGAAATAATTGAAGAAATGACATTATCGACAATTGATATAAATTTGCGATTTACACAGTTACCATCTGCGAGCAATTTTTAATTCATTGATTGCTCAATCTCATTATATGCGCAAATGTAATTTTGTTTCGTAAAACATGCATTTCGTAAAAAATTCGCTCATGTTCTTAAAATAAGAATACTATATTTACAATCTCACAGTAAAAATTAATTTACCTAAACAAATATCTCGAAAAATATAAAAAATACAAAAAAAAGTGAAACAATTTCAATGAAGATGTACATATTTCAGTCACATTATTTTTTTCCAGATAGAGATATCAAAAAGATACAAAGGTCACTTTTACTTTTTTAAATAGAATTATATATATGATTTTTTCTTTTTTTAATATGATTTCTCTAATTATTCTGCATATAAAACTATAATATAAACTATAATATAAAGATACCATTGATTTATAAGACATTTTATATATTATTCTGGCACATATATTGACACAATTAAAATGTTAAATATTTTGTAATAAGGTATCAAATTTTTTATATCGTTATAATTGACTATATTACGAGGAGGCTCCGTTTGCTTACAAATCGATTGCCTACAATCGATTATGTATCGAATCGGGGCGTAGGCGTCCTGAACAAAAAAAATAACACATATCTTAGACGCTTGGGTCCTTACCTGGAAGTTACAGCCTATAGACAGTGTCGCTTGGAATATTCTTAACCCATGAAGACAGTGAAGTGTGAGAATAGTCTTTTTAGAAACAATAAAAACCCATTTAAAATTTGTAGTGTGAGGATAAGATTTAGATTTTCTTAAATGTTAGACCTATATTCTGTATAATTACCAAAATTAATGTAGGCAATCAAGCTGTAGGCAATAATACTCGTAGGCAATCGATCTGTAGGCAAATGGGATGTAGGAAAACAATATGCTGTAAGCAATCGATTTGTAGGCAAAGGGAATCCTCCCCTTATTGTTATAATAAAAGAATCAATTTATTTTGATCATTTAGGGTAATAGATGATTTATGACGGAATAAAGTATGATGGAAAACGCGCTGATGTTCACTCATTAGAGATTATATAAAATTAACAAATAAATTATTGTTTAACATTTACTCTTATTTCTAATATGTTAAGTTTTATTTTGTGACAATGAGAGTTTTTTATACGCAGCCTTGGTTAGTGTTTATTTTATGTGACGGATGAGGTATTGCCTATCGACTGCCAATGCACTACTCGTTGCTACTCGTGTAAAATTAAATATAGTGCGTGTCGCTTTGAACATCTTCATATTTCCGTTCAAAAGACGCAATCACAAGTATTCATTAATACGAAACAGTGCTTTACAATTACTACGGTCTACTGGAAACAATTATAGTTTGTGTGGTTATTATATAACTAAATAACAATCATATATTACGAAATAGATATTTTGAAATAGATTATTTTGCGCGATTTATACATTTGAAATGACAGAGAATGAGATTCGTAATATATTATTATTTGACAATAATTATACAAAAAGAGCAATTTTGCTGACGTATCTAAAAATGCAAGTATTATATGGATATAGATCTGAAAATAAATTTGTTCGTTTATCAAAGAAATCATGTATATAAGATTACTTTGATAAGTTATTATCGAGCATGATAAATAATACTGCAAAAAGTTTTTAATAATCAGTTTATTGAGCGTTCTGCATAATTATTTTGACAGTTTAATAAGATTATTTTTAGATTTAATTAAATCTATCTAGCTTTTGTAGATGCTGCAAGAAAACTATTTTTTTCACATATGGATCACAATTATTCTTATAACACTTGATTTCGGATATGCACTTCAAAATATACTTCAAATTTTATTTTACACTTTATGATTATAGTATAACGCAATAATATATATTAACTAACAACATGTATATTTATCAAAAATGAATTATAACGGATTCAAAAGGCAAAGTAAAAAATGTGTGATAATAAACCGTTTATTGAGAACAGTACAATATAAGAAGAAATAAATTATTTATCAATTATTCATTTTTAAATATACGTTTAATATTGTGGCAGTAAAACTGTTGATGCTTACTTGTTTATTTTCGCATGATAAGTAAAGCCTATATACAGGGTGTTTGGAAAGTGCCGAACACCTAAATTACTTTTGAACGGATAAATATAATTGAATGAAACTTGCACACTTTTTACATCGGAAGGGCTATCTTTTCACATAAGGGGTAACAACCCCCCTCCCTCGAGGGATGCGGGGGTAAAACACATTCAAAAATCTTAAATGGCATAAGGGGTCAAATGATGGCTCGTACGAAAGCTCTCGAAAAGATTTTTCCAATGAGACCTTTTGCGTTCCCCCTTTCCTCAGGGCTGCGGGGGTGAAACACATTCAAAAATCTTAAATGACGTAAGGAGTCCAATTCCCGTGGTATGTATCTCGTCTCATCAACTATTCGGCGACGCAAATCATCTCGATCGTTAAGTTTGATGATGTAGACTTTACTTTTTAAATATCCCCGAAACAGTCAAGAGTCGCCAAATCAGGTGACCAGAGTGGCCACTCAATTGGACCTTTCCTTTCTATCTATCTGTTGGGGATATTTAAAAAGTAAGGTCTACATTACTAAACTTAACGATCTTGATGATTTGCGTCGTCGAGTAGGTAATGAGACGAGATATACATTCCACGGGAATACAATAGGAAGGCGGTCTCAAGTTTTTACAACCAATTAGCTCATTGTCAGCCCGTTCAGGTGGAGCATTTTGAACATTTGTTGTAAACAAGCATCTCAAACGTGAGAGGGATTCACGATAATCAAGCACTCCAAAAGAAGTCTGTTATCTCATATCTGCGTCGTTGATCTTGCGTTACGCTAAGAGCAAATGACGGAGCATGCGCACAATTTTAATAAAAGGTGCTGATAATTAGGATTCCGGGTTACGCTATGTCTCATTTCTTTTCAACAGTTCTTTCCGAGGTTATTCAAAAGAGCCATCACCTAATCCCTTATGCCATTTAGAACTTTTGAACATGTTTCACTCCCGCACCCCTGGGGGGAGAGGGAGTCGCAAGAGGTCTCATTGGAAAGGTCTTTTTGAGAGCTTTTATACCATCATTTGACAGTTTATGCCATTTATGTTGAACGTGTTTCCCCTCCGTATCCCTCGAGGAACGGAGGTTGTTCTTTATGTCAAAAGATAGCTCTTCTGATATAATAAGTGTCCTGCAAGTTTCATTCAATTATCTTTATCCGTTCAAAAGTTATTTAGGTGTCTCTGCACTTTCCGAACACCCTGTATATTCTACAAAATGCTCTTTGTTTCTTGTTTTTTACCTCTTGCTTTTTTCCTTTTCGACATCTATTTTTTGCTAACTTTTATCTCGAGTGATAGAAAACAGGAAAATGCACATTGTAGAATACTAATAGCGTTTTTATTGGCAGAACTTATGCGCATTTATTAGTGCGTATTAAGATCGTTGTGGACTTTAATCTGAATGTAAAAGTGAGATGTCTTTAATTGATAAAATTAAATGTCAATGTATACTTTATCACATAGCACAATGAAATATATTGAAAATTTCACAGTTTAACTTATCTCTATATTTTAATTAAACAGACATATTTACGTTAATTTAGATACAATGACTTTAAAATGCACTGCATACACACTTATAGTTCTGCCAATGAAAAACGCTATAAGCTATCGAGTGGTAGTAGCTTTAATTCTTCAAAAAATTATTATATCATAAAATTGCGTTATTTTACTCATTCTAAGTATATGTGTATATTACTAGTAAAAAAGATTTGGTCAATAACTAGCATCAAATTATAAAAAAAGGAATATAATAAATGCGAAGACCTAAGCAGTAAGTATGCAGGATGTCCACAAATTTAAGGATAATCTTACTGCAGCGTAAAACTTCGTTTAGACTAAACATCGAAATAGTAATATTTTTATCATTTGACTATTTCAACATTGAGAGGAGACTATCAAGGCTGTCAAGAGGTGTGATTGAGTAAGCCTGCAGTTTACATGTTTGTTACTATATAATATACGTATTTACTGACTGTTACCCTAAAGAGGATCCAATAAATCGACGATCGTTTGTACATTTTTCACATAATATATTGGGTATTTTAAAAAGTTTAATTATTGTTTTGACTTCTTTACGCACTAAGAACTACGAAGGCTTACACATAGGCATTTTACATTTTATTAATAACAACTTAATCATGTTTTCATATCAACTCTCAGCGTTTCGACTCTTTTTAAAGTCTTTCTCAGCATAATTTAATGTTTAATTATGTCAGCACTTTTTTTTTGTTAACGATTATATGGTACGTTATATTGTGAAACTTTGTATTTACGGCGTTTTATTAAACGTAATTCAAGGCTTGTGCTCTCGTCACAGATCCTTCTTGTATTTTTGTAAGTTTAATCATCCAATTATGCACTTATTGTTAATATACTCTTAATTAGTATCTTAATAGAATTTTTTTCCGTGATCGGATTTGGCAACCTATCTGTAACTTAAATTTGACGTGCTGATAATGTACACTGAAAAATTATAATTGATTTCTGAGAACTTCAAAGAGAGTCAAAATGTTCAGTTAATATGAAGATATCATCATCATATTTTAATAAACTATCCATCCACTAACAATCCATCGTAATTTTGTCATTCTTTTGATTAAAACAATTTTTTTTTTAGAAAAATTACGTAACCTATTTTGTTGTAGTATATAATATAAAGATACAGGAAAGAAGATAACATATAATCTTAAATCATAGATATATGTTTAAATATTATTTTATTATACTTTTAAATTATATGCATATAAAAGTTATATGCATTATCATTTTTCTCGCTCTGGCGAGAACTCGCTAAAGCGAATTTATTTGCTGTAGGATCTACATTAATCTGTGAAATTATTTCATATTTGATTAATAAGCTATACCGATAATTAGAGACAAATTTCTAAATATAGAAATAGATTATGCTTATTATTAAAAACTCGACTCGTAATCTAAAACGTTTCTATGTGTCCGTTGTAATCTCGGTAAAATAAGATGAAGTGTAAATGGCAAAGGATAGACGTCAGCGTTCCGTTATATTCAGATCTGTCTAAACATCGTCACAATTGCAACGTTGAAACACGTTACAATATTGCAAATATTTGTGCTGTATGGAAACATTCATATTTTCTATAATAGTGAAAAACAAAAATATTTGAAGAAGATTATTAGTATAGCTGTATAGCATCATTGAATCTTACAGCCAGAGAATGATAAGCAAAATAAAAAATGACTAGTATGATTAGAGATTGAGAGACAGGCTTCCTCACTCCACATATAATTGGACAGACCTATTCAGGTATTCATTCAATCCTTGGTCAATAACATTCCGTCTTTCTTTACGACAACGCGTCGCGACAGACAGATAAAAGCATTCGAAGATTTATAAGCTGAATTTTGGATAGGCTTGATTTAGACTGATTTCTGTACAATCTTCTCTCATTTGGGTTTCCACAACGGTGCCTGATTTATTAACTTCTAGTTACACTACTTTGCATGCTTGTAATCAATAGCATGATATCAGTTAATATAAAATCGAAGTTCACTTGTCATCGTAGTCAAATGTGATTAATAAAGTAATGAATAAACGTCGCGTATTGTGTATGTCTATTTTCTCGTACGGTACCGTAACTGCGCGCTGACTTTTAAATTAACTCAACAACGAATAGTTATAATTTTGTTTTCACTAAGTGTTTAGTACGATACTAGAAGTGAAAAAATAACTTAGCGAGGATGCTGAAAGACGACTGCAAGATTCATATACAGGAATCAGAAAAATTCCTAGGACCTGTGAAATCACGGAACTCACAAATGTACATTGAATTCAATGATCTTTGTTACTCGGTTTGCAACAGCAAAGGCAAGTTCATTTTCTATACATTTATTGATTGAAACAATTTTTCTGCATCTTCGATACTTTAATACATTAATTGATGCACGGAAAGAATTTTCTCTTAAAATTTGAAAATCATCGTGTAATTGTAAGACATGATATTTCAAAAAATTTTACGTGATTATCTCTAATTTATTAATATTCCGCAATAAAATATAGAATACGTTCGAATAATTAAAAAAAATATTAAAATATAGTAAAATTCCATTAAATAGTTTATGATTCTTTATTGTTTTAACGTTAAATAGAATAGATGCTATTGTTATATATACATATATATATATATATATATAGACTAAGTTAATATAATTAATTTTAATTGTGCCAAGCAATATCTTCGAACTAAGAGAGATAAAAAAAATTTTATATACAAATACATTTTTTTAATAGAAAAACGATTGAAATAATAAATAATTTTATATAAGAGATGCTATCAAAATTAAATAAAAGTCAATATAAATTTTTTAAACAGAAATATTTATTTTATATTGCATGTGCTTATCCCAGTGAGAAATGACAATCGACGTTGAATCGATATCAATTCGACGTCGAATCGATATTAATTCAATGTGAATTTCATTATCATTTCTCACTGGAATATATATATTACATAATTGATGTCAAAACATTTTTGAAATACTACAGGTTATACAATTCGTTTTATATAATAAAGGATTAAAAATAAAATAAAAATAAACTAAAAATGAGCCTAATTTAAATAATTTATATCGGCTTTGGTAGCGTATTCTATATAAATTATTTGCATCTTCTCTTTTTTCCAAGAAAACTTATAACTTTTACAAAAATAATTTTAATTAGATTTAGTCAATTGTATTATTTTTACCATGCCATCATGATCTATTGATATATCCAATGATGTTCTTCTGTCTGCCATTGATCTGCGCATTAGACTTATCTGTCGATAATTCAAGAATATATATCAGTGATATTACAAATATTAATGAATCTCTCGCTGAATATAGCGAATTATTAAAAGTCTCACCATTTTATTCAAGTAATTGCAAGAAAAACTAAATATACTTACAAAAATTAATTAAAAATTACGACTAATTATTTGAACAAAAATCTAATCCTTTATGACAAAAGCGTAAAATAATATCAGCGGTTAATAATTCCAGAGATAATTGTATGAAGAATGGAGCAAATTCACTGCAGAAGTCCGCTACTATTCAAATCTTTTGATAACGGACGAAATATTTGACATCTTTGAACTACAGATCTCGATTACATTGAATCATGAACTTCCATAATCATGAACAACTGATAACAACTAATACTGAACGTTATGTATATTCTTCTTCTTCTTTCTTTTTATGGCCTATGTAGCTCCAGCTCGGAGCAAGGCCAGTGATGTTAATATTTTTTGAAAATGTCCAACAAAAAACTGTATGATAGTATTCTATTAATGTCAAAAATACAATCACCGCAAAAATGTGAACACGTTTCCCCACATACTAAACGCGCTTACTACAGGTCAGTTTTGCAAGGACACGCGTCAAGATGAATATGAAGAATCTTCAAAAAGAGAAAGCACGTTTAAAATCAGCAAATATCTATTTCAAAAATAGATATTTAAATGATGTAACACTCGAACTAGAACAAACACGTCATCCGCACTGGCAAAGCTATCTTTCAGAATTCTTAAATGTTACATACGCTATTGGTTTTTTAGTATTGGCAGTGTATACGAATCGAAAGTTTCGAAATACGATGAAAGTAAAAATAATTAAAACCTACAGATTTCTCTTTGAATCAGTCAGACCATCAGGTACACTGTAGAATCTTATTCTATACACGTATGTATTAATAATTTTCAGTCTCGTTATGTGTCTTTGCACAGATATTTTGTAAAAAAGTGGCACATATTTTTCATAAACTTTACATATTTCATGTAATTTTCAAGTAGGTATATATAGTATGATTATATCATAATTATACATATGATGGAATACACAGCTAATTCGAGTTTCCGCAAAGACAGTAGGCATATTTTAAAGCGAAATCTCTTTTCGAATCCATATTGATGTTTCGCGAGTATATCTGAGACCAGATAGTTGAGGCAAACGATAATCTTACTCGAAATGCTGTTTCCGCGAAATTGAGTATTTATCTCCGTTTAAAACTGGAAAAATAATATTGACGACTAGAAATCGTCAATTTTGATTACGTGATCTATTTTGATGCTAAAAATGAGCACATTAAGATCTCACCACATATGCTTCTATTCGGCGCGCGCGCCTATCTCCCGGGAGGGAGGGAAAATGCCCTTGCTTGCACCCCCCCCCCCCCCCCATGGACACCCATGCCAACAACTATACATAATTGATAAATGTATAAAAAATAAGCTCCTACACGGAGAAAAGTACTGTAATGTGATAGAAGTTGCAGACCATCGTGTAATTATAAGTTTAAATGCTATAACCATATTTTTTTAAAAACAATAATATAAAGTAATTTTTACACACTTTTTCATAGTAAAAATTTTTTATTATAAAATCACATCTTGTTGAATAAAAGTTAGTATTGTAAAGATAATAAAAAATATATACCCCTAGCAAATATTGTTTGTATATCATAGTAAAAATTAATCTTCCATGGCTTAAGCACCGGTTTAATAAAAATTACTTCATTTATGTGTTTTTGTCGTATGACAAGTGTATAGAGGTAAAAGTTTTAACAATCGTTCGTAGAACTTGTTCTCTCCTGTACCAATCCGAGTGTTACATCATATTACTATTCTTAGAAAGTAAGGCTGAGTTTGGATATTTGCGTTTGCTCGTACTATTTTATTTTCATTTGTTATTTGTTGAGCCGTGCTCAGGTAGACGCAGCCTTTCGACTACCGGCTGTACAAGCACGTGCTTGTAAACTGATTGAGACCTTGAACCGTTGAATGAGATCGACACTAAGTAATATTAAAGTTGAAATTGTTATTCTTGAATATCATACGCACATTAAGCAAATAATATCATACAGTTCTATTTTAAAAAATGGCGATTATCTTCATATAACCTTAAAAAAAAATTGAAATTTTGCAATAATTAATTTTACCATTATTTGTCTCCCTTAAAATCATGCAATTTTTGTCCAAAATATTTTTCTTTCTAAAGTGTATTATTCAAGAGATATTTGAATGTCGTTTAAAATAGGATATCTTGGAAATTCTTATATTAAAAATATGATAATTTTTAGATAATATTCCTTTTAAATTAAGAGGATTATCTTGGCACTTATTTTAGAGAAAAACATATATACTATATATAAGTAGGATATTCTTAAGTTAAGAATATAATTTTTTCAGTGAACGTACAAATTAAATAGCAGTCTACGACTTTATATTTAAAAGCTTCCTTAAATTTATCTTTAGAGGTCGTCATATATTTTCATAGTAACCAACAAAATAAATTGTAGAGCATCTAAAGATAATAAAAATTAAGCCTTAAATATAAGGCTTCACTATGAATACATACATTCGCTATAACGTATTATGTCTGAGATAGGGTCTGAGCACAAGCACTGCCGTAACATTTTACGACACACTTAAGTTGTAGACGTAAATAACGCACACGCTTTGGCGTATCGGCGTATGACGTGTTTATGCACACTGTCGAAAGATATGGCAATAATGTACATAAACACGTCATACGCCGATACCCCAAAGTTTGTGCGTTATATATGTCTACAACTTAAGTGTGTTGTAAAATGTTACGGCAGTGCTTGTGCTCAGACCCATACAAAGAGCGATCACGGCGTAAGAGTCGCGTACAAGCAAGCGACGGACGAAAAAAGAACAGAATTAGGTAGAGTTCTCAGACAGGTAAGTAAGCAGCGTTGCGCCCATGCGCTTCAGTGATTGGTCGAGCCAAGCGTTCGAGATATATCGCCACAAATTGGCTGATTTGATTATCCAACAAAATATAAAATCAAAAATAATAAGTAGTAAAGGGGATTCTTACCTTTCAAAAAATTCAATGATAAACAAATGATGTAATAAAAATTGAAGAATATTAATTGAAGTATATATCAATTTTGATCGTGTGGCCTGTTTAGATGTTAAAAATGAGCATCAGTATGCAAAAGCACCTTAAGAATTATAACTGTTTCTTCTAAATCTCTAAATCCAAATAGAAAGGAATCATAATACTTAATATCAAAATGAGATGTTAAAATGATTCAAATGATTATTAAAAGTCACTTTTTGATCTGCAGTCATAATTGATTTAATATATAATATTAAACGTGACACGTAACTGATTTTGTATTTTCTGCTATACATAGTAAAATAAGAACATTCACTATAGGAACTGAGAAAATGATTCTGCATAATGCAAGGGGATACTTCGAACCGGGAAAAATCACGGTGGTAGTCGGTCCTTCCGGTGCGGGGAAGACTACCCTGCTAAAAATCATATCGGGCAAACAACAACACAATATCAAAGGCACCATCACCGTCAATGGTGCTGTACAAAACAGAAAAATGTTCCATAAACAAGCGTGTTACGTACCGCAACAATTCGAGCTATTGCCATATCTCACAATCAGAGAAACTTTATACATTGCAGCTCGACTAAAGCTCGACGTTAATCAGAACAAGCAAACAATTTGTTCAACGGTGAGTTGAAAATATAAAAACGAGAGAACAGCAAACACATTTGTATATACATATACGTATAATATATAATTATTTATTAGGTGCTTAAATTAATTCTCGCTGTTTTTTGTTTAAAAAAAACCTCGTGCTTATTTTATCAAAAAAGCTTCCTTATATCCTATGCATGTCTTAAAGACGTTTCCATAATGTCTTTAGAATAAAGTTTGTTTATAAAATAAAAAAGATGGTCCCTGGGGAAGAGAGGGGAGATTAATAAAGATTAATACTTGCTATAAATTTCTAAAATTTTAATAATTTGTTCATATATTATAGTTCCTATATGATGTATAATATACACTTTCGTCTGAATCAAATGTCTATTTTTTATGTTGCAATTTCAATTTCAATGTATATACAAATTATTGTATAATTATATATATATGTATATATTATTATTATTTCTACTAATATTGATTTTTTCTGTCAGGTGAACGATATCGCGAAAAGTCTCAACTTGTCAAAGTGTTTAGATACATTAGCGAATAAGTTAAGCGGTGGAGAACGAAAAAGAGTCTGTATTGGTGTGGAAATGATTGTTCAGCCATCCGTTTTTTTATTAGACGAGCCAACAAGCGGTCTCGACAGTATGGCCTCTAATCAGGTACAAAGCGTAAATTACTAATACATATTAACGACCGTTTTTTACAGAAGAGAATAATAAAAAGAAGACTTCTGCAATTTTATTTATACCTATTCTAGAAGAGTATAAATAAAAGCGGAATAGTGTTTTTTAATAGATTTTGACCTCCGAAATATGATAATGGAATGTTGGAAAGACATAGAATACCTTGAAGAATTGAGCACAAACATGGAATCCAAATTTTTATATTTTTAGTCAATTTTCAAAATGTTCTTCAACCATCTCCACAAATATTTTAATAATTTTATAATTTATTGTACCTAAGAAATCAAAATTTATAAAAACTATTTCTTTTACTTACACCTTTTTTTAGCAGAAATAGACCCTTTTTTAACATCCTCCTTTAATTTATCTTTTATTTTTTGTATAAATTAATTATTTTATACACAATAAGTGCTCAGATTCTATTTTTGATTGCACATTCTAGCAATATATGTTTCAACGTATATATAAATGCATCGTTTCACAATATAGTAAAACACTTAATGTACTATATTGAAACATATGATGTTTGTGTTAAATAGCTCATTAATATACTACATGATATGGCAAAAGCGAATTGCACTGTGATTTGTTCAATACATCAACCCAGCAGTCAGATGATTTCGCTTTTCGATAACATTATCGTACTTAATCAAGGCAGATGTATGTATTGCGGTCCAAAGAATGAGATCTTAAACACGTACAGCATTGCCGGGTTTACGTGTCCCAACTTCTATAACATAATTGAATTTGGTAAGGTGACTCTACTGATTCGACTTGTTAAATAAATTTAACGAGAAATTTGATGTGTGTGAAAAGATAAGAAAATTTGGAAAATTAACATAAGAAAGAGCGCATTGTTCTTATTTATTAATAATTTTAGAACTAATTCTTATTAATCTTACAAAAGCAAAGAATATTCTTAGGACGTCTTCAAAACTTTTTGTAGAACATTTCTTGAATATCTGTTCTACATGTGAATTTAAATTATAATAAATATATTTTGAAATAGTTGACAAATTTATTTTACACTTTAGAAATTACAATACTTAAAAAATATCTAATAATTAGAAAAGCAAAAAGACAATTACATAATTATATTCATCTAATTACAGTGCTTGAGGTAGTAACAGAAGAAAGGAGTGGAAATATAGAGAATCTGTACAAGATCTGTTGTGATAAATACGAACAGTTTAGGTTACGCAAAAAAGAGGGTAAATGTTATATGTTTATTATATTTTATTATTTAAAAGTTTTCTTTTTTCTTAATTTATTAATAATTCATCATTATAATTATTTTACTAATTCTTCTAGTTTATATTTTTTACCATACCTTACAATAATTGAGTAATAATACCCTAAATTTTATTTAACATATATATTTCTATATTCTTTAAAGATATTTAATTGTTACACAATAAAAATATTTTATATTTTTATTAAAACCAGTTCTTATTAAAATTTTATGTTAAATTTTTATTGATATGCTTGAGAAGAAGAGAGAGAAGAGAGAGAGAGAGAGAGAGAGTGTTAACTTAATATAATCTTTAATATAAGCTTATTAAATAACTTGAATATTTTATGTTAAATAGAATGTAACACAAAATCTTTAAATAATTTAATCACACACTTTATAATCATTTTATTAGTGTTAAAAACACAATTTATAAGCAAATAAATAAATAATATAAAAATTATGTAGTTATAAAACGTAAATTTTAATAATAAGATAAATGAGTGAAAAAGTGAAAAATAAACGTATGGTATATTCAATAAAAGCGTGACTGACATACTCGTAAATTTCGAACATACATTTCGTATCTTATCGCGGAACGATAGATTTATCAATTTTGTACTTAAAATTGAAAGGTTGAAAGCTTTATTTCATAATTTAAATTAATAATAACATCGTCAATCTTAGTACTTAAAATATAAAATACTTTCAATCTTTTATTATTAACATTGAAATACAAAAGACATAATACAATTGTTTTACAAATACCGTTTTCAAATAAAAATATTTTAAATAGATGCCCAGCCCTAAGTAGAATTCACGTGAAAACAATATTTCACACATAATGAAAAAGCATAAGCAGCTTACTGCTTTCTTATTATGCATGAAATGTCCTCATCTAAATTATAAATTTGATGATAGCAAGTTGATAGCATCTTGATGGCATGTAAAATACACGTGCTATTAATTTACCATTGTGTTGCCGACACGATAAAAAATGCGAGTTCATTTCGTGCCATCATTTTGCTTAAATACCATAGCGTTTTAAAATTTATAATGCCATTCAATAAATAAAGATACACATAAAGATATTTCATATAAAAATACAAGAATAAAATATTTTACAATTATTTAATTATTAATTATTGTAGAAATGGATTTATCGATTGATTTCAAGCAAAAATGTGGAACAAAAAATACAGATGTATCTATAAATAGCATAACGCAAAAGAAGTCAACATGGCAACAGCAAAAAATTTTATTTTCACGAGCTTTAACTTACATCAAACGAGATACAGTGAGTAAAAACTTTCAAAAATAATATTTAAACAATTTGCTTGAGACAAATTAAAACATTTTGATTAATCTTTCAGACCTTAACAAAACTTAGATTCGTGGCGCACGTGCAAGTCGCGATATTATTAGGAATAGTTTTCTATAATTTCGGTGATGACGCAGAAAAAGTTAACAGCAACATCGCTTATTTATTTTTCTGTATATTATTTTTATTCTATGCAAATTCCATACTGTCAGTGCAAATGTGTAAGTGATATATATTCTTTTTTTACTTATATTATTATATACAAATATAAATTCTGTATATAAACGCTGTCTACTTGATATTATAAAATATAAATGTTTTAAAACACTAATTGATTAGTAAAATTTTTTCTGAATGATAGATCAAATGATTTGAAGCATTTATAACACTAAGTAGACTGCACTCTTTTGGTAAATAAATTACACGTTTTCTAACTTTTTCTACTATTTGAATAAAAAATACCATTTCTAATTTTTCATCGTGCTGAACACGAGTCCGGCAATGAAATTGCTCTATGCATTGCGGTATTGAAATGATAAATTTTTCCGCCATATTGGATCCGCTATTTTGAATTTAACTTTTGATTCAGATTTAGTGTCCTTAAAAACTTTCCTACTAAAATCAACACACAGTTCTTAAAACTTTTTCTTCAAAAATATTTTTTGCACAAAATGTTTTTCTTTGTATGACTACACAGAAATTATCTCAGTGAAAAAGAAACGTACGGCGTTTAAAAAAAAATTTTTAAGGATAAAAGTTGATACTTTAAGATGGCGTAAACGAAAGTAGAAAAAAAATTTACTTCGCTAGCAAAAAAGTCACAAATATGTCAATAAAAGTCAATTTGACACCTTTAATCCCACTTTCCTCAAAAATTCCTAATGTGATAAAGCAATTTCATTGCCAGATTCGTGTTCAGTACGTAAAAATACATCGGAAATGGTATTTTTTATTCAAATAGCAGAAACCACATCGGCCCCAGTGTTATCGACATAAAATACTACAATATATCTTTTCGAGTCTTCTGTAAAATCTCTTGGACAATGTTGTTACAACTTATCTTAATTTTTATAATTATTATAAATATGTTTCATAAATCTCATAAACTGTATTAAGTTAAATACATCTGATTGTAGTTCCCACAGAAGCAGCAGTATTTTTACAAGAACATTTAAACAATTGGTACTCTTTAAGATCCTATTACAGTGTGAAAATAATAACGGATCTCTTGGTGCAAGTATGTTTTAATCATTAATGCAATACTATAATTTTGTTATTAATTATTTCTTTCAGGTGTGAAGTTATGACTAAAGATTATAATCAGATTATAATTACATAAATATATGTTATCGTTACTTTTTAAATCAATTAAAAATTCGTTTATTTTCTAGATAATTTGCTGTTCATCTTTCGTGTTAATATCATACTATATGACAGGACAGCCAATGGAATATAATAGAATTCTATCGATGTGGGGAATCTGCTTCTTAATTACGATGCTTGCACAAACGGTCGGGGTACTTGCAGGCACGATGTTAGGCACAGAGGTATTTCAACAATGTATTTTTTACTATTTTAATTAACTTTTAGGTTTCAATATCAATGTAAGATAAAATTGCGCTACAGAGCAAGACTGAAATATTATACCATAATGATGTGAAATAATCTTCAGTAAGACATATCATTATGACTTTCACACATATAAAATTATTTTTTTATTTTTTGACGATATTAGTATGATATACCTGATTATTAGTATGACATACCTGATATTTGATATCAAAATAACGTGCGTGTTTACTGGAATATACGAGTAATTATTTATAATATAATAGTAATAAATTAATAAATTATTAATAAATTATAGCTTTTTAATATAATTTATTTCTAATAAGAAATTTTCAGTTTAATAATGTGAATGTAATAATGCAATCGTTCTTATACCTAAAAGACAATGTATTCAAAATGTAGGCATAAGATATCCTAAAAACGTCTTAAAGACATCTTTAAAACGTCTCATATCCACATTTTGTACATATTGTTCTCTACGTATTTAATATGAAAATGTTAAATAACTATAATAACATATTCAATTTATTGATTCGACCCGACTCCGAGTCAACGATCTGTTCTGTTTAGCTGCAAAAGAAGAGCTAAATCGTGCCAGAAATGCAACTAAAAAGAACAAACCATTGACTCGGAGTCGGATCGAGTCAGTAAATCAAATACACTATAAGTATAATTTCTTTTCAGTTAGGTATATTTGTAATACCGTCAGTTACTGTACCATTATTGTTGTTTGCTGGATTCTTCTCAAAATTAGGAGAAATGCCGATGATCGTGCAGCCTTTAAGTTATTTGAGCTTTTTCAGGTACAATTGTATACCACAGTGACTATTAATTAAAAGTTTTTAGCATTTAAATTTATTCTTGTAGATATGATGTTTTCCGTACAAACAATAGTTTTAATTTATATTTATTGAGCTATTTATTTAATTTATATTTATTTGGTTATTTATATTTATTGAGGCTATTTATTGAAAATTATTTTTCTTTCTGTGTAAAGATGTACTTTTATTATATAATTCTAATTCATTGTATATTTTCAATTTTGAAAAGCGTGAATTTTATTGCAGATACGCATTGGAAGGATTAATGCAAGCGATCTATCTTGACCGACCGAATCTGACGTGTTCGGAAATTTATTGTTACTTCCATTCACCAAGTAAGATTCTCTCAATAATGGACATGCCAACACTTCCATTTCATGTAATTGTGATGATACTTGCTTTTTGGATAATCTGTTTTCACACGATTACTTATACAGCATTTCTTTGGAAAATTCATTATGCAAGAAAGTGATGTGATCAGTGAAGTTAATATTTATAAATCATTTTAAAGTTAATATTCATCTGAAACGAGAAACTATTTTTAAGGTATGTCTCGAACAAAAAAAACGACTTATTGAGAAAATTCTCTCTGTATATAACATTGGGAAAAATTTAAAAGAAAATAATCAGATTGGGAATGCAAAAAGTTATATAAATTGTTTATATCTATATACATATAACGCGTTTAGTAATAATAATAGTAATGATAGCATAATAAGATTTATTTTCCTATAATTGATTATGATGACAATATATAAGAATGGTGTTTTATAATAAAATAAATTAAATATATAATAGTTTAATAAATTATAATAGCTTAAGATATACATATATTAATGAATAATTAATGCGTCAATTTTTAAGTCAATTTGAATATCGATTAGATACTCCAAGAAAATATTATTTAATTTATTTTCTAATATAAACGACGCAACAAAATAATAAATGTATGTATATTTTCTAAGTAGTTTTTGTGAAAATGCGTTCTAATGTATTTTTTCTTGAAGGGGGGATTTAAATTCTAAGTATAAAAATATATATTAATAACAAGAGAAGTTAAAATTTATGTAACTTTTATTATCAAAAGGAAAGCAAAATTCTTTGAGCAAAGAATGCATAATTTTTTTGTTTAATTAATGATCTTTTAAAATTAAAATTAAAAATATCATTATGTTTTTAAAAATAAAAGAAACATAGAATATTAAATAAAAAATATGTAGAATATTTTCAAATTTTAATTAGTTTTCTCTACAAACTTATGTTTTATTTGTAAGATTTTAATTTTTATGAATTTGTGACTTTTCTATATGCATGTTTAACAATACATATATATATCATCGTTACATCCGTTTTTCACATTCACGCGCTGCGGTAAGCTTCATCCTATCATTGTTCTCAGTACTCGCAAAAAAAAAAAAGATAGAATGAAACTTACAGCGCGTAAGCGTGAAAAACGAACACACATATATATATGTGTGTGTGTGTGTGTGTTTATATGTACTAAAAATGCATAAGTTTACTATAAAAGTACAAACTATACCTATACTGTACTAAGACAACTAAGTTATATATGCGTTTGACGTTCGATACACTGACATATCTCCTGATGATTTTAAATGTAATGATGTTATATGATTTTAAAAGAGAGCATATTAGGAAGTTTGTATGATCATATTAAAAACGAAATTTATGAATGTATTTTAGATACAGAAATAAATACTCACAATTCTTCAATTGTAAGTGATATTTACAATTATATTTGAAATGAAATAAACAACTTGTATATATTTTATATTATTTCTGTGGATTCTATAATTTCTTCTTTTTATAAAGATCTGACGGAATAATTTTTTAATATAGAAATAATTGTCTAATTAGTTCATATTGCATTATTAAAAATGCATCGTCTGTATGTAGATTTTCTCACAGATTTACAAGAAATACTGAAAAACGCACTGAGATATCAATCATCCTAAGATATCAATTCGCAGGAAGATCTCTGAAATAAAGTATGTACGTGATATTATTGAGGTCATATATACCGGGTGGTCCACTTAAATCCTACACACACATCTTGAATATTTCGTTTATTTTTGACAATACAAAAAAATGTTTCAAATAAAAATGGAACGGTGTCGAGGGGGACACGTTTTAGTCACATTGTTTTTTTTCTAAGTGGAGACGCTAAAAAGATATGAAGGTCACCTCCACTTTTTTAAATGGAATTATGTAATTTTTTTTAGATAACGTGATTCCTCTAACTATTTTGCATATAAAAGTATTAAAGTAGAGATACCAAAAAACCAATAGTTTTCGAGATATTTTACACTTTATTTTGGTACATTTTGACACAAAATGTTAAATAACTCGTAAACTGTTGACTTTTTGATTATCGTACCTTAATACTTTTGTGAACAGAATAATGAGATAAATCAAATGGTGTAAAGAAAACACATAGTTGCGTATTTAAAAAATTATCCATTTTGCATACATAATTTTTTTTAAGCAACTATGTGTTTTCTTTACACCATTTGATTTATCTCATTATTCTGTTCACAAAAGTATTAAGGTACGATAATCAAAAAGTCAACAGTTTACGAGTTATTTAACATTTTGTGTCAAAATGTACCAAAATAAAGTGTAAAATATCTCGAAAACTATTGGTTTTTTGGTATCTCTACCTTAATACTTTTATATGCAAAATAATTAGAGGAATCACGTTATCTAAAAAAAATTACATAATTCCATTTAAAAAAGTGGAGGTGACCTTCATATCTTTTTAGCGCCTCCACTTAGAAAAAAAACAATGTGACTAAAACGTGTCCCCCTCGACACCGTTCCATTTTTATTTGAAACATTTTTTCGTATTGTCAAAAATAAACGAAATATTCAAGATGTGTTTGTGTGTGTAGGATTTAAGTGGACCACCCGGCATATCACGATAATAATATCACACAATAATATCACGAGTTAAATTGTGCTAGCAATTTAACAATTTTTTTGATGCTCTTTATGCATCTTAAATCAATCTTAATAATGTTGAATGATAAATTAAAATATGTAAATAATTAATACTTATTGCGAAAAATATTACTTCTATAAAAATATTAGCGATCCAGGTTCGACTCCTAACCGAGGTAATATTTTTCGCAATAAGTATTAATTTTTAATTCGAATGTATGTATACTAATTCAATTAATTAGAATACACGTCATTAAAAAAAGGAATATACGCGCTCCTTCTTGTAAAACAATTGTACAATTTATGTTCCTATTCTTTTATATTCCTATTCATTCTTTTTATTTAAATTTAAGAATGATTTTGATTCTCTCTCTCTTTCTTCTAAAAAATAATTATATCACAAAATTGCACCAATTAAAATAAAGTGGATAAAATAAAGTATACTGTTATAAAATATTTATTGTAATAAGGCTCAATGAATTTAAAACTAATATGAGAATAGGGCTACGAGCCTTGGATTCATTAAAATCTTTAATTCTATTAATTCTAATATATTGCAAAGAATATCACGTAATGTTGGCGTTTCGTCCCGGCTTCCAATACTAGACTCATCAATTACGTTATTTCAGTTTATTAGAGTTGCGTTTAAAGACCGAAGATATTTCGGCGCGCAATTTGGGGGGAATTTTCAGATAGAGTTGCGTTTCAAGACCGACGATTGTTCGGCGCGCAAGTTGGTGGAGGGGGGTGGGAAGGGAATACATATACATATATCACTTTGAATAATATATTGCGAAGAATATTACTACGTCGACCCGCCATCAGAGGTCTATAGATATTCGCTAAAATTCTCGCAAGTGCTTTGATACGCGTATATCTGTATATATAGAATCTCGATTCAATAACTAAAACAGACGTCTAAGGTAGGCTTCCATTACAGTACCTTACTGATGAGTCCAGTATTGGAAGCTGGGACGAAACGCCAACATTACGTGATATTCTTTGCAATATATTAGAATTAATAGAATTAAAGATTTTAATGAATCCAAGGCTCGTAGCCCTATTCTCATATTAGTTTTATACTGTTATACTTTTTTATCTACTCAAATAACATGTATGACACTCTCTTGAATTTCTACTTTAGAATAATAATTATGTTTCAACCTAAATGGTAGTACTTCTTTATATAACAAAAAAAAAAACATTTGTAACATATAAAATTCTAATGATAGAAAGTGACAGTGTGTGCAAAATGAAGTTTTTTTTATAAATCAACAATATTGGACTCGTAGCGCACGAACGGAAACTATTATTACTTCACTATGATATTAGCGGAGATACTTCATTTAATCTCTGCATACATTATAGAACATTTATGTGCTACCGCTTGCAGAATTGAAGCTTGTGCAGAGCCGTACAAGCGTCACGAACTTCAATGCTGCTTCTATTTTAGCGTCTACACGTAGGCGACTAAAAATTCCAACTAAACAGTTTCCAACAATGCAAGAAAGATAACTCTTGCTCATGCGCTGTATGTACGCTCAAAGTGGTTGAGTTCATAAATGTCAATTGCTTTTTTGTAGCTATAGGGTCTACCTTCTATCGTTAAAACTATAGTACTTCGTGGCCGTATTCCGGATATATACCAGCACTGAAAATCTTTACGTAACGTGAGCTATAGTTTTTCAGTGCTGGCAGTATACATCGGAATACCCTGTATTTGTTGTAGCAGTGCTAAGTTTTTTATATTTAAAATTTTTGAATACTCAGTTAAAACAAAAAAAAGTTATTCTTAAGAGGGAATTCGAAAATATACTATATATTACTTATGTTGCTCAGTTAAATAGTATAACGCGTATATATATTTTATTTTAATTGACGCAATTTTGCAGTATTATTTTTTTAAAGAGGAAAATTACAGTTATTACTACTTATAGATCGGAATAGGAAGAACGAATGGGAATATAAAGATACGTATTATTCGAGACTTATTTTTTAAAGGTAACTGCAATTGTTTTTCAAAAAATATATATATTTATTACTGCCTCTTTATTATTTTTTACATATAATTCTCTGTAATGATTTTTTTATTAAAAGAAATTTAAGCCAGTACTAAACCTGACTGAAACGTTGTTACTAAAAATACGATCCTATTTTTAGGATTCGAGTAATTTTTTATTTTTTTACATATTTTCTATTTATTTTTTTTTAATTTTGAAAAAATTACTTTTTGTGGACTACACAGTAAGAAGATGTGAAATAAAAAAATGACATTTAATGTGTTAAAACAATATTTTTTAGTATAGGTATTTATAAATTTGTGTTTATATGAAAAGGTTAGAATTCTACTTTTGGTCGAAAAAATTTATGTACTATATGACGTATATACATTAAACTATAAAATCACTTTGTATTTGATAATAAAGTTTTACATAGATAATTAGAGATAGATTTCTAGGATGATATTTTGTTCTTTCCCCTTCCTTTAAATTTACGCTCACGAAAGGAGTCGGTTTCATTAATTTCTTCCTCTAGATACGTCCCTGGTTACGTTTATAATCAGTAGCACGAGGCTGAGACATCAGTCATATAATCGAAGTTCAGTGTTACAGTTTGCCGTATAGGCGACTGAAAAAAGTACTTAATGATCATTGTATAATAACATATATTTGCGTAATCTTGTACTACAAACATCAGCTCTTTAATTAATAAAATGACGACAAAACTAGTTTATAGTGCGTCTAATAAAATGATGAAAATAAATGATAAAAATAACGTTGCAAGAATAGTGAATGACGATTGTGAGATCCATATGGGGGAATCGGAAAAATTGCTACAAAAATCGAAAAACTCGCAAATGTGCATCGAATTCAACAATCTTTGTTATTCGGTTCGTCACAACCGAAAAGGCGAGTTCATTTATCGTGTTTATGAATGGCGAAATTTTTTTGCATTTTTGACCTTAACAAATTTGTTTGTATACTTTGTGATAATTTCATGATAGCAGCGTAAAAGATAACGATTAGTTCTTACTTTCTTAACAGAAGAAAATATAGATCACATACCATCAAAATGAATCATGATTATATATGTGTAAATTGCAGAATATAATCATTCTGAAGTAATTTTGACGCTATTTCAATATCATGACTTTTTGTTCTACTCGGGCCAACTAATAATATGTTGCAGCGTACATATGAATTAATTGTCATGATACATGTTGATCACGATACATGTTGCAAATACAATAATATAGTACTGTCACGAATTTGCGTGCTAAAAGCATCCGTTGATGACTCACGAATGTATACACATTGATATTACATGTGCAATGTTAATAGCTGACAGATTTTTATAGAAGTCCGTATAGTATCCATACAACACCAAAATTTTGTAGACATTTTAAAAATATTTTTAATAAAAAATGAAACATTTTAAAGTTGGAAATCATATCTGCAATACTTTTTGAAACCTCTGGAATAGCAAAATGTTCACGAATCTTACAGTTAAAATCTTATACATAGAAAAATTGCTAACAAGTTTTAAAAAAAACTTACAATTTGAAATATTGCTTAAAAAATATTAAAATTGCTAAAACTTTTCTAATACGTTAGAAATGTTGCTAACAAATTTTTTTAATGACTTTGAAATCTCGGGAATACAATATAAATAGTTTTATCTTAAAGTTCCATTTTGATTTGACGTACATTATTATCTATGGTAACATGGATCTTAAGGAAAAAAACATATGTATTCAAATCCAAATCATCATCAGTATTCGTTAATACTGGTAGTATTGCTGACCTTGTACCGAAGGCCTTAAGAGTTTCATAAGTTTAACATAGCGTTTTTGTGTGTTGTTTAACATTTAGATTGCCGGCGTAAAGATTATCAAAACCTCATTAAAAAGTAACAAAAACATGTGTTTGTGATAAAGGATACTTATATCCAGAGTTGTGCGCGTTATCTCAAAAAAGTCACGCGTTACCGTTACTTAAAATGTAACGATTCGTTATTTTTTTTTTTTATAATGCTAAAAATTATTAGAAAATATTTTTAAAAGAAATTAAGATTTATAAAAGAAATTAACAATAATGGTACATTTCCACTGTGCGTGTCACGCGTCGCGTCGTGAAAGAGAGAAAGAGAGAAGTTTATATGTATAAATACACAACACTTCTCTTTCTCTCCTTCGACGCGTGACGCGCTCAGTGAAAATGTACCATAAGTTTTCAGAATGTACTTGATCAGCGCGCGCTATTGGCGCGCAATCAGTGCGCGATCTATTGAATAGGAAACTAAAAATAGGAAACTAAACAGAGCCGGTTCCAGCATCCTTGGCGCCCTACGCAAGATTTAAAAAAGCGCCCCTCCCTCTCATTTTCTCACATTCATATATAATAATATATAATAATAACAAAATTTCGAAATTATTCTGTATTTTTATTCAAACTAAGAAAATATGAACTTTAAATGAAATTTAAAAAATTAACATATATTATATGATATATTTCACATACTTTATCATATACGCAAATGTAAATTGAACAATATAATTTTTATATTAATAACTTAAATACTAAAAAAGATACAACAAAAAAATTTTATTACGGATTGATATTACGTGTAGGTATAGATTCAGGTAAACATTCAAATATTTTGGCGCTGGAATTTAAGGCGCCCCCGTTTTATGACGCCCCGATGCGCCGCTTTTACCGTGCTTACCGCCTAAAACCAGCCCTGAAACTAAAGTAACGGTAAAAGTAACGACTAAATACGTTACCGTTACCGTTACAGACAGAAAAAAGTAACGATCGTTACTGAAAAAAGTAACGAAAACGGTAACGCCGTTACAAGTAACGCGTTACTTCCTAACCCTGCTTATATCATATACAATGTTTCCATCACGGCTTGAGCCGATATATCGGCTTCCCGGCAGGATAGGTTATGGAAAAGATTAAAATTTTTTTACTTGTAAATAATGCATATATAATGAATATTTTTGAGATCATTATTACATTAATTATTTTTGACATTAATTAATTTTAACATAATTATATTTGAGGTCACTGTGGTGAGGTCAAAAAATGATAATTTTGAATGCTGAAGCCATTATTGCATGTAAAACAGCAGTAAAATAAATTTTTTATGATGAAGTGCAATTTGTCTACAAATACATTCAGAATGGTATAATTGAACTAAAATATAGTATTTCAGGCTAACTATATCATGAAATTAAAATAATATATCAGCTTTCCGGCGGTCTAAAGATTAAGCATAGTTAAAGAAAAACGTTTATTATCCTAGAACCGGAAAAAACGATTCTACAAAATGTAACGGGGTACTTCGAATCGAAGAAAGTCACGGTGATAATTGGTCCTTCCGGTGCGGGAAAGACCACTTTGATGAAAATCATATCTGGCAAACGACTGACCGACATTAAGGGCACCATCACCATAAACGGCATTGAACGGAATAAAGGGACATTTCGAAAACAAGTGTGCTACGTGCCGCAACAATTGGACCTATTACCGTTCCTCACAACCAAAGAAACTTTATACATAGCAGCTCGACTGAAACTCAACGTTAATGAGAGCAAACAAACAATTTGTTCAGTTGTAAGTAAAATATAAATACGAAAGAAGAATTTCAATGGTCAACTTCAACATATAATATCTCGCTTCACGGGGCCAGAATGACGCTTTTTTCTGGCAGATTCATTCATTTTATTTAAAATCGCGTCTAATGATCATAATTTTATTAACATTAGAGATGAGATATCCAAACTAAATGATTGTCTGACATCATATTGATTGGTCAAAAGTACATTATCACTTACTGGTTAAAGGTACAACGCTTGCTCACTTTCAATTTGTTATTATTTTTATAAATTATAAGTTAAGATTAACGGTATTAAGTTTTAAATAACTTTTTCTGAATATCTATTTAACATTTTAAGCAATTCCAACATAAGACAAAATGCATATACAACATTTTATGAGATTAAAAAGCTTATTGAAATTACTTTTCATTCGAACACTCGAAAACAATAAATTATTTTTCATAGCAGTATAATTCTTTTCATTATTATTATGATTGTAAGTTATAAAACACCTCTAGTGCTCATACTACAAATTACATATCTTTACTTTTATAAATATTCGATAGATTTTTTATAAATTCAAATAGTTAAAGGTACAACTGGTCAAAAGAACACCTGGTTCCCCTACATATAAAAAATAATTATTTGATAAATTGATTTATTCTGGAGCATTTCGTACATACAAATTTCTAAGCTATAAAATTTCAAATATATTGTACCTCGTCACAGGGACGGCGACTTTTGTGGGGTGTGTGTGAGATATTCCACACACATCAGAATTTTTTGAAAGTAACAAAGTGTTAAATTAAAAATAGTTAAATTTTTTGGAACTTTTACGTTGTTACAGTTCTTCGAAAAGATAAGATTGTGAGGGACTTTTGGTTTCGGAGTATACAAAACTAATTCAAATACTATTAACAATACCGATGACGTCGTGTACTGTAGAACGTTCTTTTTCTGTATTGAGAAGATTAAAAACATATTTGCGTTCTACGATGCAGTAAGTTTGGTTGAATTCAGCAGCTATATTGCATGTGCACTCCGAGATTGCTGAAACTTTAGATATTTATGCACTTATGGATTCATTATAAAAAATAAAATTCAAAGTTCAATGTTTGCTCTACAAGATTAAATTTATTAAAATTTTTCATTAAGAGTTTTGTTTTATGAGTTTATGTATGTTTCAAGTTAAACTATAAATATTTATAAAATGTTTATAATTTCGTTGCTTAATTATTATTTTTTACGATTATAAAGAGATTTTAATATGAAGATTAAATGAGTTTTGAACATTTTTTACTCTCCCCCTACGATCAAGTTGTCCAACTCTACACATGGCGATTTTACAAGCCGCCCCCCTTATTGAAGCTCTATTACACCAACAATATCTAATCTATTAAGAGATCCATCTGTCTATAAAAATAATTATTTGAATTAATGTTCATAAAAAGAGAGCTACATAATTATTGGATAAGTTGATTGTAGCTCTACTACAATCCACAAGAGCTAATTTATTGAGATAATATCTCGACGCTAACAAGGAAAGTGCCCACAGTGATAATTGCGTATTGATACAAAATATATGTTGTTGGAAAGGTCTCGCCGAGTAGAGTTCAATATTTCTCTTGAATGACATCTCGAAAGGATGCAATAGAAGTTGTACAAAGTCTACCTAATGATAATAAAAGTTTGACTTTGGTTTGAGTTTCTATGTCACACGTGTGGAATTTAAAAGATATAAACTTTTTTTTAAGAAGTTTGCCAGATTTGTAATTAAAATGCTACAAGCATCAAATATTCATATGCTTTTTGCAGTAGATTTCTTTGTTACGACTGTTTTTTCGAACGTTATCATTACCATTAGTCTTTTTGCTTTTTCTTTTTTTCTCTTCGCTCTTTTATTATTTTGATTTCTGAAATGAAACGAAAACCGCGATTTATGTTTTATTAACCAGTTCATTGAAATTTTTTTTCCTAAAACTAGTAAGATTTTACACTCCATTTTTTCTATTTTTTTAAATTTGTTTTCAATTTTTTTTATTTATTTTTACTTTATATTTTTTTACAAATTTCTTACTTAATTTTTTAAAAACTTTCTTAATAGTATTTTAAGTGGCAAATTTTGGACATTCTTTATACTAATAAAAATAGCAAGTATATGTACAGATTATTTTTTAATTTATTGATGTTAATTTCTTGCGACTGAAGAAGACTTTGTAAAGTCAAAACTAGTTTCGCTCAATTCAATGTAATTTGAACATTAAAATTATTAATATATTTATAACAACTTATTTATTCGTCTTTAACCGTTATTTATATGTAATTTTATATTGTGTTTTCAATAACGTGTAGGCTATTATTGTTCTTTATATTTACACATATTATTTTCTCTAATATTTAGGTTGGTTTATCATATATGGCAAGCAAAAGATTAATTATATACATAAGATATTATTTTTTTTTTCAGGTAAACGATGTGGCGGAAACTCTCGGCTTGTCAAATTGTTTGGGCACATTAGCGAACAAATTAAGTGGTGGCGAACAGAAAAGACTCTCTATTGCCATAGAAATAATCGCTAAACCATCTATTCTCTTATTAGACGAACCAACAAGCGGTCTCGACAGTGCTGCCTCTTATCAGGTATACATATAAATTACTATAAACGCAACTATATATGTATATATATATTAATCACAATTATTTTAAAAGCGTTATGTAATAATTAAATTACAAAATATAAAGACGGCTCACACACACACACACACACACACACACACACACACATAAAAATTAATAATTTCGGTGCACATTTAAGAATCTACATATGTAGTATATAAATTCACACAAAATTATATATTAGAAGTATTCAGGATCCAGACCGTTATAGCATGTACTCATCGGTATTTATAGTTTAAACTCTCACGGTCCAATAAGATTTGATGATATAAAATATATAGATATACAACAATTATAGTCTTTATCTTAATAATTCTCCAGATTGTTAAATGCATAATCGACAATTTGCATCTGACTCTCGTTTTACATCCTTTGATATTCCGTACATTTGTTTCCTTTTCTATTTCAGCTCTATCACAACAAAATGTCATATATTTGATGATTTTAAGAGTTAAAATATTAAAAAGGCTCAATATGTACCTCATTTTCATAGCAAAAATCTTATGCTAATTTACTTACTTCATTCACTGCATTTTTACGTTTACGTATGTTCCCTTCATGTTTACGAAAAACTAATTGCTCCACATGATTTTGCAGCCCAAAAATTATAAAAAAAACATACATTTCTAATTGGGGACAAAAATCGACAACTTTTATCAATCCTTCTTTTAATAATAAACATCTTAAAATCTCTAAAGAAAATTATTATCACTCTTCCCCCAATTGCTTTCCTTTTTCCCTGTTTTTAAAGATAATAGAAAAATTATATCGGACATTCGGAAAATATCCAATATTCAATCAGATAATTGTACTGTCGGTTATCCGAGCGGTGTCGGGATGTCCGACTGATATCAGCAATCCCAAAAAATGAGCTAATATTATTTCAAGTTTTGACATTAAAATAACGACAAATGATGTCAATTCATTTACTAAAATGTTATATAATATTGCTAAACTGTTATACTGTATTGTTTTGCAATAACGTTAAATCTTATACAAAAATATATTTTTTGCTTTGAACAGCTTGTTTACATGCTGCATGATATGTCGAGAGCAAATTGCACTGTGATTTGTGCAATACATCAACCCAGCAGTCAAATAATTTCGCTCTTCGATGACATTATGGTACTGAGTCAAGGCAGAAGTATGTACTGCGGTCCAAAGAGTGAAATCTTAAACACGTACAGCATTGCCGGGTTCACGTGTCCTAGCTTCTATAACATAGCCGAATTTGGTAATATTGACTCTATCGACTTGATTACGTAAATTACAGAAGAAAACAGAGGAATTTGAAAAATAGTATTGACTAAAACTGTATACATTTTTAAATATATTTTTTATAACTTTAAAATCGGTTTCTTTAGTTATTATCTTATGATATTTTTAAAATAAATTTTGTAAATTTAAAAAAATATTTTGCAATTAGTTTGAAAAATATGATGATATATAGAATAGATTATTATTTTTTTATTTAACTTTTAGTACTTGAATAAGAATTAAAATAAAAAATATCAATACGTATCTGTATTTTTACCTGTAATAATATTATATTATTATCTTAAATAATAATAATATTTATTTAACTTATGTAAAACTTTGAAGGAGATGTACTCTTAAGACAAAATATTTTATAAAAATTTATATATATATACATATATGCCGTAACATGTATGCATTATTTACAAATTTTTAGTCATATTCAGATCATAATAATAAGAATATTTTAAAATAGTTGCCAAATTTTTTAAATTGTAAAATTATTTAAAAAATCATTTTTTAAAAATTAAAACATGTTATAAATAAAAAAATAATTAATATTAATTGAGTTTTTCTAATTGTAGTGCTTGAAGTAATAACTGAACAAAGAGGTGGAGACTTGGAGAATCTATATAAAATTTGTCGTGATGAAAGCGAAAAGATTAGATTACGAAATGCACATAATAAAAATGGTAAATGTGTTATATTTTATTATTTAAACGTTTTATTCTTAACTATATCTCGATTATTTTTGTAATCCACAATAATTTATTAATAGGTAATCACTTTTTACTTTAGTAATTTATATTTATTATTTTATTAATATTTTTATCTTGCTTTACAATGATTGAATAACAAAAGTATGATTTTTATCTATTGAATATCTACATAATTCTTTACAGAAATAAAATTCTTAAACAATAATATCAACGCTCGATAAATTTGAAAAACAAAACATTAAGTGTACGACCAATACGAGCATAAAATGTTGAAAATTAGTAATTATTATTTCTACACTGAAGAAGTCTCTATGAAGCCGAAACGTTGTTATTTTATCAATGTATTATATGCAATTTTATTACTATAGATTAAATTAGAACAAAAGCATTGATTGTGTAGATTACTTATAATTACTAATTTTCAACATTTTATGCTCCTTATGATCGTATATAAAATTCTTAAAAATGTTGGATCAGCCAAACATTGAGCACTTTCCTTGTATGACATAAAATTAACATAATTCAATAAAAAATACAAAGCAAGATAATTTATAGATATAAAATTGTAAGAAACAAATTTTTTAATTATTGTTAAAATAATAACTTTTATAATAATTAATTGACATTTTTATAGAATTGACTTCATCAATTGATTCCAAGCAAAAATGTGAAACGAATGATCTAATTGTAAGTACACCAACAAACAATATAATACAAGAAAAGTCGATATGGCAACAGCAAAAAATTTTGTTTGTACGAGCTCTAATCTGCATAAAACGAGATACAGTGAGTAGAAACTTTTGAAAGTAATACTTATAGTAATATTTTAATTTGTTTGACAAATTTTAAAATACTATTGTTTTGACTAATCTTTCAGATCTTGACAAAAGTAAGACTTGCGTCGCATATCATCGTCGCGCTGATGTTAGGAACAGTATTTTATGATTTCGGTGACGATGCGGAAAAAGTGAACAGCAACATCGCTTGTTTATTTTTCTTTTTGTTATTTTTATTCTTCGTAAATGCCGAACGGACAGTGCAAACGTGTAAGTGATATAAATTCTTCTCTTTTTTTATTTATAAACTTGAGTCGTAATGTATTTGTGTGATTTTATTGTCAAATAAATTATATATTATTACAATTTTTTTAGATAACTTTAAAAAATGAAATATCTGTTTGACAATATTCTTAACTTGCCGCAAGATTATGATAAACGCATTTTATGAATTCTGTAAATTGTGTCGTGATAAAGATGTATTTGATTGTAGTTCCGACGGAAGCGGCAGTATTTTTAAAGGAACATTTAAATAATTGGTATTCTTTGGGAGCCTATTATAGCGTGAAAGTAATAACGGATCTTGTGATGCAAGTATGTTTAATATAAAATTATAATTTTGTTACTATAACTATATCAGATTAAACCAAATATGATTGTCATTATTTTGAAATCAAAATTAAAGAATCGTCTATTTTCTAGATACTTTGTTCATCAGCCTTCATATTTATATCATACTATATGACAGGACAGCCAATGGAATATGATAGAATTCTAAAGACGTGGATCATTTGTCTGTTGATTATGATGGTTGGACAAACAGTCGGGATACTTGCAGGCTCAGCGTTTGGTACTGAGGTATATCAATGGTGTATATTTTACTATTTTAAGTGGAAATCAATCGAGAATTAGTGTCCAATAAACAAAACGCGGGTTTTGATGCTTAATATTATTTTTATGCGAATTTAATTTAATTTGTGGTATTTGCTCTAACTTCAATTTATAACTGTATTTGAAGACCAACAAATAATCGATACACAGTTTGCTAGAAATTGTAAAATTCATACTAAAATATTATTATTATACAAATACCAATAAAATTCTTTTTGACCGAACATGGTCTCTTTCTCTTATTTTTATTACACTTATGTATTTTACTTATAATACATTAAGAAAGCAACAAGAAAAAAGCTATCATAGTACAATTATATAAAGGAAAAATGACTATACATATAATCATGTTATTTATATATATATAAGAGTCATTTATAATAATAAACTTTTTAATTTCTCTTAGCTTATATCATTCAAATTTCAATTCAATTGTTTCTTACAATTAGTATGAGAATGTAAATAACTGAATATAATTTTTCTTTCAGTTCGGTTTATTTTTAATATCATCAGTTAACATACCATTATTACTTTTTGCCGGATTTTTTACGAAAGTGGGGGAAATGTCGCCGTATCTGCAGCCTTTAAGTGTTATAAGCTATTTCAGGTATAATTTTATAACGCAGCGTTATTATTAATTAAGAGCTTGTAGCATTCAATTTTATTATTATTTAGTTTTAATGTTTTTCGTATTAATTGTATTAATCATTTTTTGAAATTTAAAACGGCTATTTATCGAAAGTTGTTGCTATAAAAATATGCTTTTGTTGTATGTCTATATAGTTATTTTACTATATTTTTTAATAAATTTAAAAAAATGTACATTTTATTGCAGATATGCATTTGAAGGAATAATACAAGCGATCTATGTTGATCGACCGAATTTGACGTGCTTTGAAATTTACTGTTACTTACGTTCACCAAGTAAGATTCTTTCAATGATGGACATGCCAACAGTACCATTTTATGCAATTCCGATAATACTTATCTCTTGGATACTCTTTTTACACGCGGTCCACTATACAGTACTCCAATGGAAAGTTTATTATGCAAAGAAATGACGAGTGAAGTTAATATTAATCTTAAACTCTACATATATTCAAAAAATGTTCGCAAGATATACGCATACCTCAAATAAAAATTTACCCACTGAACAAATTCTGTCTGCAATAGTATGTAGGCAGAAACATTCCTTTGACTTTAATTAAACGAGGTTTAAAACTCTCACTTTCTTTCTTTAAACTTTAAAGTAAAAAGAGAAGCAAAGATATAAGTCTCATTTAAAGTCAAAGTTGATGCAATCACGTATAGAAATACACAGGGAATAGATGGTAAAAGAAAATAACACTTCAAAGAGAGAAAAGTAAAGAGAATAGATATAAGATGTAACAGATTAATAGGAATACATAATAATTAGAAGTTGATAGAAATAAAAGGGAAAAGAATTAAAATTTTTAAGGAAAGAAAATTTATAATAAAAAGAGATAATGGTGAGACAAGCAGAGGTATATTTGTAAATAGATAAGATAGGAATAATGAGAAAGTATTGTATGTACGTCGAAGTTGGTACGTTAGGGATTATATTTCAAAAATTGCGTAAAGAATGAATGTGTGAGGATAAGATCAAAAAATATGGATTGAGTCTCCTCCTTGGCTTACAATGTTGAAGATAATAAAAATTCTATTGCATTTTGTATATAATATTATAAAATTTTCGTTTAATAGATAATAAGATAGATTATTAATTTTTGTACATATGAGTAGGGCTGAATAATATAGCTGAAACATGTAATATTAATTTAAGTAAAGTTTTCTTTGTTGGTGGTATCTCAGTTTTTTATTTGAATATTTATGAAAGTAATAAAGAGAAACAGGTCTACGAACCAATAAATTCGTTAAAATCTTTAATTTATTCTAATATATTGCGAAGAATATCACATAATTATGGCGTTTCGTCCCAGCTTTCACTATCAGTAAGGCATTGTAGTGGAAGCCTACCTACGTCTACAAAAGTTATTCAATCGAGATTCTATATAAGATATACGTGTATTAAAGCACTTGCGAGAATTTGCGAAAGACGTTATTCTCCTACTTTAGATAAATATTGTGAAGAATATTACTACGTCGACCCGCCATCAGAGGTCTATCGATGTTTGCAAAAATTTCTCGCAAGTGCTGAGATACGCGTATGTCGCTTTATATAGAATCTCGATTAATAACTTACACAGGCGTCTAAAGTAGGTTTCCGTTACAATGCCTTTATTACTGATGAGTCCAGTAGTGGAAACCCGGACGAAACGCCAACTCGTGATATTCTTCGCAATCTTTATTTTTCACAGATTTAGATTTACTTCAACATTACATCATTAAAATTTAATATATGTCTTTCAACATATTATTAAGATCCAATAAGATGCTATAAGCATCAAAAATTGTTAGATTGCTTGTCAATTTAACTAAGTGATATTACTGCGGTAGTAAGTATGTATGCGTCAATGCTGAAAAACTATCAGCGTCACGATTTATGGGGGAACTACATACGCAGTATATAAAATTCACACAATTATAATAAGCACTGTGATCCAGCTTTGACCGTTATTGAAATTTGATTTTTCTGTTCAAGTGTTAATATTAATATTAAAATACAAAATATCAAGGAAAAGTCCAAAAATATATCGATATTTAAAATATCTTTGTTGTATCGCTCATTCTTATAATCTTAGTAGATTAAATTTAGTTAAATGTTCTTTCTCTTTCTTAGAGGAAACTTAGACAATTTATAATATAAACATTAGTATGTTAATATTATAAATTGTCTAAGTTAATTCCTCTAAGAAAGAGAAAGAACATTTGACTAAATTTGAAGCAGAGCTGTTTGATAAGAAACAATCTCTAGAAAAATGCGCTTCTCCAGCGCCTGTTACTGAATCTTCAAAACAACGGTTGGCAGATGTTGAAGATACAGAAATCATATCAAGTTAGAACCATGGCATATTATTTTTTAAAACTAATAAAGAGAAACAGGGCTACGAACCAATGAATTCGTTAAAATCTTTTAATTATTCTAACATATTGCGAAGAAATATCACGTAATTTTGGCGTTTCGTCCCGGCTTCCACTACTGAACTCATTAGTAAAGTATTGTATAAGTGGAAGCCTACCTTAGACGCCTGGGAAAGTTATTAATCGAGAATCTATATAAAGAGATATACGCATGTCAAAGCACTTTCGAGAATTTGCGTATATCGATAGACCTCTGATGGCGGGTCGACGACGTAGTAATATTCTTCGCAATATTTATCCAATGTAATATATGTATTCCCCCCTCCCCTAAACTTGCGCGCCGAACATTCGTCGGTCTTGAAACACAACTCTAATAATCTGAAATAACGTTCCCTTAATCAAATTGTGATTTTAAACGAATCCTTTGGCCCGCGTAAATTAAAATATGTATTTAATATGGCTCAATAAATTTAAAACTAATAAAGAGAAATAGGACTACGAGCCAATAAAATTTGTTAAAATCTTTAATTTATTCTAATATATTGCGAAGAATATATTTATGAAGGTGTTTCTATAAATTATCAGACTTACTAGTCCTTTTTGCATTACATAATTATCATTTTGAAATTGAGTCTTGTAACTAACTTTATTATAATATTATAAATTAAATGTGAAATATTTAAAAATGTGAGAAAATATAAATGAATAATCAATGCGTTAATTTAACATAATTGACGATAATGTTGAATAATTAAAAATTCATATTTAATTTATTTTCGTACGTATACATGATACGGAGGCTTTGCTCTGTACATTTCTATAGTTCATGTTACTATAAATGTATAATACTATAGATTTTCACGGCTCGTAATGAATAACGGAACTAAGAAATAGCAAATTCTTTCTTAGACAAGAAATTATCGTAAATGAGAATTTTTATTGAAATTTTTAAGCCTATCTTTAATACAATACACACACATGCAAAGAGAACTTTTATATTTTTAATAAATTTTGTATCATATGTATTAATTTTCTATATCTCAAATGTAGTCGCAGATAACACCCCCTAAACGGAAAAAAACTATATTTATTTATTTATTTCTTTGGAATAAATTCGTAAATTCTGCTTTTAGTCTGATGCAATTACTGCACTCCCTGCTTTCCTTTTAATATGAGAAAAAACAATTTGTGTTGTAAGTTTATAAATTCAAAAGAGGGCCTGAAAATAACTGAAAAAATTTTATGGATTCGATTTATATATTCTCCTATATTTTTCATAGTATGTTTATAGGTATGTGCGTATGCCATTAATACAGAGTACGTTAGTGCAGAGTTTCAGTAGTGATTCTGATTACGTCGGAGATTGATTGTTTTCCATCTGGTCCGCCATCATGTTAAACTGGTTGTCATTAACATACTGTTCTTCTGGATATTGTGAAGGATCGTATTCGTACTGATTTTGATCATGTCCCATCATGTAAGCTTCCATATTTGAATCGTTCACCGTATACTCTTCGTTATTTTGTGCATCTCCTTGCTGCTGGTACATCTCTGCGGTTTCCATATTCGGTGCAATGTTATTTTGCACCAAGTTGCCTTGCATCTGATCGTTTCTCTTCGGTGCGTCAGAATATATTTCTGACTCCTCGCCCACTACTTTTTGACCGCTGGCGGTATCGAATCCATGATGTACCATTTGAGCACCTGATAATCCGTTTGTGTGCGGCGAGACTACTGAATCCATCGCAGCGTTATAATGAAAAGCTCCAGTATCATTGTTAGTTTCCATAGTAATTCCTCCTGGAAAAAGTAATTCTTGTCACTCAACATTCGACGTACATTTTTTAATTACCGATTTATGTAAGAAATATAAATAAAAATTAATTATACCTGTGTGACTTACAAGGCTGCCTTGTATTTTACTTGACAAGTTTTCTATGTTGCTTTGTAAGCCGGCCATTTCTTCCCTGTGATAAATGAGTAAATGCGATTTAACATGGGGTTAAAAGTTAAGTATGACTATTAGCGGAAAATCAGTGTCACATCGAGCGTAATAATGTAATTGTCATTTGCTCTAGGACACTCTCGCTATTACTGTGCTGATAGAGATGTTTTGGAGGTGTCGGACTTCTTTTTTGGAATTACTTTTACTTTTAGATCAACCTTAACGGTACGTTTCTTGCTCGAAGGCGAAGCGGTTTGCCCAACCGTTGTCACATCTCTCTCAACGACCCCCTCTGTCAACACAGAATAGCCTTAGATATATATAGTGAGAAGTGGTGCATTCTTATCTATACTAATTAACATTATAATAAACGCGCACGCAATAACGGGTGTTAATATATACTCTATAATAATAAATTAAGCTGCGCTTCTTAAGATTAGACTAATCGAGAACCAACTAAACTAACGTCTGACAGCTCGAAGCTACGTGCGTTATATCTTTTCATTTAGTTTCCGCAAGTCGGACTAAGAATATACTTGTGTTTAAGATTGTTTGCTTCCAAACGCTGTGTGAGAGATTGGCATTCGGTGGTCAATCTCGAGACGAGCTTGGCCTGATTACTCAGGGCGTCTTCTAGGCCCGCCACTGTGGCAGCTGTGAAATTTGGTTGCTTTGGTCAGCCTGTTAGCTATGTTAATTGACTTAAATCTCAATCTTCGCCTATGCTAGGCATATAGTGTCAGGCATGCCGATTTCTCACACATATATAAAGACACTCTTAAGTCAATATCATTGTCAAATTACAAATAACACTTTTCACGGACAATATACCTAACATAGGCATACCTAGGACAATATCTTACCATGTTTAGTCTCCATATCCATTATCATGGATGTTAATTCCTTCTCGTGTTCCAATCTAGGTGTAATTTCGCTACGATTTTCTTCAGATCGTACAATTTTACTCATACTGATCTGAAAACGTACAAAAACAAAAAACATACAAATTTTTTTATTTTTTAATTATTTAAAAGTTTCCGAAATTTGAATCCTCTGTACGAACTGGAATTAATATTCAATATTGTATCGTAAATCTACAATATTTTGTGAAAGGATCTACTATGTGGCATTAGACTAACTAAGAGTATATCATTATTAAAAAAATTTTTGTCTATAATTTGACAATTTTTATATGAGATAGAAATAAAAAAAATAACAGTAAGAGTGTGTCAACTTTTATTTCTTTTTTAGTAAACCTACTTAAACGTATTCTATCATAAAATGTTACGAAAAAATCCAGCATATAAAATCCAATATATAAAAATCCAAAAAATAAAATAAAAATAAAAACAAGAAAGTATAAAAATAAATACAAAAATGTTATTTTTTTTAAATTAATTACTTAAAATAATTCCGGAAACTTTTAGATATTTCATTGTGTGCTAATAATACACGTGATATAATTAAGTATTGATCAGTTAAAATCACATTCAAGATATTTACCTCCTTTTCCAAAGATGCAATTTGTTCCGACAATCGTAAATTTTCCCGTCTACAATGTACCAAATCAGCATCCGCTCTTTCCAGACGCTGCTTGTACGAATTTATTTCTGCCTGCAATCTGCTCTGCTCTTGACGAGCCTGCCTATCGCTTCGTTCAGCCGCTAGTTTACCGGTCAAAACCTCTTGTTCCGCCGCGTCTTTTTCGCTTAATGCTTGGTT